AATCACTTAATTCTAGCAAAATGTAATTCGTCACAATGACTTTCAACAGATTTGCTTTATTTATTTTTTATACGGAAACCATGAATATTGTGATGTAAACTGTGATCAATGCTTTTGAATAGTTTTACTAGAGATTTTGAAAAATGTATTTCATGTACAGTACAGTACTAGCCATGGATTATATGGTGTCTGTCATAGAGCTGCATCTGTGTAGTGGCTCATAATATTGTGTTGCATATTGAACAAACCATTACAGGTATGTACTTGCTTTTGAACACAGGTCTTTAACCACAAAGGGCATTGTCATACAAATGTTTGCGATGAGTACTCTTGCCAGAGGTGCTTCATTTTTGTGGTTTTATTGCAAAAAATCTTGCTTTCTGGTAGAGCCTGTTGGTGGCTCCATGTAGCCATCTCACTGGTGTTGCTCCAATCTACCAGTCACATCAGTGGCACAAAGTTTATTTGGTCTACCAGAGACCAGAGCTGAAACCTAACCCTTCACACGAGGCACAGGGAGCAAATGACTCCACCGTTTCACTGGGAAAGCATCCAGAAAGTCAGCAAAGCTTTACAAACAGCTGGGTTCCAAAACTCAAAAGCCACTAAAATGCCAAATAACTCTCCAAACCAAATAAAATACACAAAAGTAGCTAAAACCAGGAAGTACTGAATGCCACCACTAGGCAACTAGTCCAGCATTTTGCAAACACATCAGTTCATTCTCTGATGCCTAGCCTAGAGCAATGTTGTAAAGCTCCTTTGTTGCATTATCTTGCAGCCAGTCCCAGAGCTTCTAAACCTAAGTACCAGCCATCCTAGGACTCATCCTGTGGGAGCTTATTTTGCCAGTGTACCATTCAATTTAGTCTTTTCTTCACATGAATGTTTTCTCTCCGGTTTTATTTGGACTTGACTTTTATGTGCTCCAGCCTGCATGTGTCCAGCAGTTACTTCCCTGGGTATTCATTAGAGCACTGCCCTTACACTGGCAGAGTTCATTGTCTGATGTAATTGGGGGGTTACCCTTTCAAGCCTAGGCCACTGGGGGTGGAGTGCCTTACCTTAGATATTTCAAAGGTTTCTGAACTCTCTATTTAGGCTCTTAGTTGGGAGCATTCATTAGGTTGTGTAGGGTGCAGTCAGGGTGCCAGGGTGCACCTGGCTCTTATTACTATGGTATACCATGGGTGCCATTTTGCAGCACAGGTAGAGGGGGCTGCCGATTCCCATTTCTTTGGCGAGCATCTTAAGTGCCTCGGAGCAACTGTCTGGCTTATTACCGGCAGGCCCTGGCATTTCCCTGATGGGTCTATGATGAGGTCAGTTATATTTAAAGAACAGCCCATCAAGCCCGCTCTCGCCCATTGCGAGATTGAAGGTTGTTCGTCGCCATTGCTATGTGACAACGATCGTTCTTTCTGCCTCCACCATGCAGCTTGATGGGTTGATGACACTTAAAACCCCAAATCTTGTGAGGTTTGTTCCCCACGGGTTCTGATCCTGCCTCTGAAGTAGAGGCATTTCAGGATTTCAGACAGCTGTCTCATTATGAGCTAGATTTGCCTGGATTCAGCATTTGTAGCATTGTGCCCAGTTGGAAACCCAGGTTTGCCTTGAACTCACCTAGTTGTGCTTGTGGAAGTCGAGCTTTAGCTCTTTGGTCCTAACTCAATCGTCACTCAACTGATGTACAAATTCCCGAGCCTACTGAGCTCTATCATATCTACATTTGAAACTGTGTATGGAGTTTGCCTCCATCACATCACTGCCTAGGGCATTGCACTTGTTAACTACCCTGATGCTGAAAATATCCTTTCTAGTATTTCCATGACTCATTTGAGTACGGTACTTAGCTTCCACCTGTGTCCCCTCGTTTGTGTTCTGCCCATGCTAAATAATTTTTGTCAACCCTGTCAATTTCTCTGATAATTTTGTAGGTGGTGATCAAGTCTTTCCTAACTCTTTTGTCTTCTAGAGGTGTGAGGTTTAATTCCCATAGCTAGTTATGAACTCCAGGCTGGAGCTGCATACTCCGGGATTGGTCTTTCAGTTTTCAGTCCTAGTTCAGTTCCAGCTCCATCCCTCAATGTCTTTACGGATGCATTGGCTCTGGGACGAAGGTTTGGGACCAGGCTTCCAAGAGTTGGTGATCGGGTCCATTGTTTTGGGTGCACAGTACAGTGCGAGAGTTAGCAACTGTGTGGCGAGCGTTACAGAGGATTCAGCTCCCTCCGGGCTCTGTGATCCAGCGCCACTGCAAATGCTTCCCAGTGATTCACTACCAGAACTATGTGGGGCTCTCTCTGGTCCTGGATGCTGTGAGTGGCTCATCCACACAGTCTATGTGCGGGGTATTTCCAACATCCTCTCAGTGCTTATCTGCTCCTGAACTGATGTGTGGGTAGATGCTGGGCTGAGCACTAGGCCATCTGGTAGCAGCATTCTGTATTTTCTGGTTTTAGCTAGTTTGTGTGTGTGTGTGTTTGTGTTCGAGAGAGATTTGGCATTTTAAGTCTTGGAAACCCAACTGTAAAAAAAGCTGTCTGTAAAGCTCCGCTGACTTTCTGGCGCTTCCCCAACGAAGTAGCAGAACGTCATTTTTGCTCCCTGCGTCTCATATGAATGAACCTGGTTCCTGGTAGGCTCTGGTTCCTGGTAGGCCAAATGAATGCTTGCAACTGATGGATTGGAGCAATCTCAAGTGAGATAGCTACAGGGAGCCACCACGGCTCTACCAGAAAGAGGCCTTTCAATACATTCAAAGCTGTATTTTGAGGATTTTTGAAATGAAACTGTGCCAAATTGCTTAAAAGTACAAATATTGGTTGTCTACATAGCTTTAATTAGAAAAATATTTGGATTTATTTCCCTTTGGGAAGAGAACTCGTGTGTTTGCCCATGTGTAGATTAATTTAGATAGCCTAAACGAGATGTGAGAACATTAATCATATTAAATGTATATACATCCATTTTTATATATAGCATCCAAGCTACTTTACAAGTGGCAGATCTTAATGAGCAGTATTCCTTCACTTGAGACCCATGCATGTTAATGGCTGTGTCAACAACCTTCTGCAATATTTTAAATTCAAGCTTAAATAAAATTTCATACTGTACTAAAATCACTTATCATTCATTTACCTTATTTTGACTTAACATTTCATCAATAATAATTAAATCAATATCTACATTTTTTGTATTTAGCAGCAAAAAACACTCAAGTACTGTAATTATCAAAAGTATTGAGCCTGGAAGACTATTTAGCAAGAGTTTGTGACACAGAACATAAATACCATCATTAAATGTAATGAAATGCCTCTTTCTGATAGCATCCAGGAGCCATCAGTGCTCTCTCGTGCCAAGATGGATTCCATGCTGGGTTACATCTGTTGTAAGTCCTGTTTGGCCAACCAGGGACCAGACCCAGAGCCTGGCCTTCCATCACAGACACAGGGAGCAGGGATTTAATATCACCCCACTTGGAAAGCAGAGAATTGGTGAAGCTTTACACACAACTGCAAGGTACACAGAAAACAGTAGTGAAACTGCCAAACAACTCCGTAAACTTTTAAGGTACTGTAAATACGAGCAATTCACTCTAGCATGAACCTGTTAGGATTGATAGTTGCCACGAGGTGACCAAGAGCCCTGATCCACAGCTGACTCCAAGGCCAGTCTAAAGCTGACACCACTCAGAAATGACAAATCAACAAACCTGGTAAGGAAAGAGTCGGGGAGCCACTAGGCCTCTACGAGAAAGTGGCATGGCCTTACATTAAAGTTGGTTTTCTGGAAGAAGCTCTTTGGTGGCTCCCTAAACCTAACCACATAGCAGAGAAAAACAAAGGACTTGCCATGGAGAAGGCGAGATCATGGGCCAGGAAGCCCAGCCCAGCTTCACAAAAGGCCACCAGGGATCAATAACAAGGCCACCAGGATTCCGTTAGAACAGTAAAACCCCAAAGCCTGAAAATCGGCCAATGAATTGGAAGAGAAAATTGCAGTCAAGTTGCATACTGACAAACACCAAAGGCCAGAGGGAAACTGCAAGCTGGTTAGATATAAAGACACTTCAGACAACCGGAGGAAAATAAGCCACAGAAAATAACAATGGTCGAAGACAAACTGAAACGTCACAATAATAGTTCAGAACCTGGACCATTATTTAGCGGAGTGAACCAAAATATTTTCACTTTCTGTATTTTCAGGTGTGTGGGTTGGGTGTCTCTGTTCATCCACATTACTGTCACTTAGTGCCTGCAGAACTCTTTCTAACATTTCCAAACCAGTGTCCACTGCTTAACATAAAATTTAAAAATCACCTAAAATGCTAATTTAATTGGTTTTAAATACTTCAAGAGTAACAAGAAAATAATAAAATTCTTTTAACTGCAAGATGTGAGATGAACTAAATTCTAGGTTGACAGAAAATTCCTTTACAGCAAACAGTGCATTTCATTGCCATAATAAATGTAGTCGAAATAATACAGTGTTGTACAATAATAACCATGTAGGGAGTAAGTCATTAAACCCGGTGCTTTTGCACACAAACAGAACAACAAATGTCTCATAAGATTATCAGTGTATAAATAAACATCTTATTAATACAGTATTATTTCTGACCAGTCATCTAGTCATAAAACTGGATCCAGGTTTTGTTGTGAATCCCTAAAATATTGATTTAGATGCATATTTAAATACGTACCATTATAAAGGTATAATATATAATATACTTACTAGATACTCTTCATCTGAAAGTATGATTGTAGTATACAGTATAGCATGCACAGAATTTAGTAATTTTAACCTGCATTTTTTAAGAACACAAATATGCCTTTAAAGAATTTTTGTCACACATCAGGACTGAACACATGTTTGTTCACGTGTCAAATATACAGAAGTACATCAGTACCTGTAATACATTTGCCTCGGATTCAATACCAACTTCAACATTATATTAAAGAGAAACGAGCCTACAATGGGATAATAAAATAAACTTTTCTGGAGATTTACTTTAACACGAGGTACTTCAGTACAAAATATATCATAGTACCATTAGAGAAGACAATGAAAAATTAAACAAGAAAATTGTGATTATAGAATTTGTCACACACAGTACAGTATATAAAAACAAGGCCATGTTTCATAAGCTGTAAGGAATCGGTGATTTAGGTGAACCAGTTACAGATTGTAATTGATATAATGATTCTCTTGTTTAAATAAGCAAGGCAATAACTTTATTCCACATAATCTGAGTAAGATTTGGGTTGAGAGTAGCAAGAAGAAGAGTTGGCGAGGATAGATGGTAACGGGAATTGACGTGCTCGCCCATCAGAGAGTGGCAAGATACCAGCCAATTAAGAAGCTGGTTCAGAGTTTGTTTCCATTCAGACTGTCCAGATAAGGTTACGAGAGAAGGAAGTAGTAGACGATCTCGCAGAGCAGGTGTCTCGGCAAGGACTTCCATCTGGTTTGTGGCCCACAGGTCTGACCAGACCAAAAGTCCCATCACTACTAGATCCAGATAGAAGGTGACTCTCTGCTGCTGTTCATGAACAGCCACAAGGTTGTCTCCAGGTTTCTTCTTCAGATGATCTCGCAACCTTCCCAGAAGTTGCAAGAACCATGCACTACTTTCCTTCACTCGACATCGGACTATAAGTGTGTTGGACATTACTCGAAGCAGATGTGAACGGTCACCGGGTAGAGAGGCAGCCGAGTCAACCAGATCATTCAACCAAGGCAGAGCCAATTCCTCAGGGTCCTTCTCGGCAACATGACAGCGTAAAACTGCAGCGCGGTATAGTCGTTCGTCTGTAACTTCCCACCAAAGTGATGGTGAAGTTAGCCGTTCTATGTGCTTCTGAGGAAGATCTGCTACACATGCCTTATATGATACATACAAGACCTCATTTGATGGATCAATATGTTCATTTAGATTCTCTATTGCATTACTTAGAACATTCCTATTGGTGTCAAAAATAAAGTCAGCAGTAAGGTTTGGTTTTAATGCCTCAAGAAGTGCCTTCATATGCACAGTGTCTGATAAATGTTGATTGAAAACATAGGACAAGAATGGCTGTAAGACAGTAGGGGGTAATCCACGACCAAGATGATCCAACAATTGATATAGGACAATTTCATCCTCTCGTGTTAAACCATTAGATGGTGCAGGAACTAACCATTTACTGATTAGAGCACTTGCCGAGGTCGACTTGTTACACTGACGACCTGCAATCTTGAAAAGACTATGACGTATTCTTGTAATCCAGTCATAGTTACAGGTTGACTGTGCTACTGTCAAAACCTTCTCAAGAAAACACCAGTCCAAGGCAGGATATGGTCGAGAGAGAGATTGACCGAGTGCCTCAAGCATCAATACGGAGCTCCTAAGTAACCTCTGCTTCACCTGCTCACATTCACAGTTCTCCATCATTTTGGGGAATTCCAGAAGAAAACTTACCAGAGCCTTCAGAATTGATGAGTCTTTGAAAAAACTGTAGGACTGCGGCTCAGGTTGGCCGCCACTGCCTTTAATCCCCCTGCGCTTAGCTTCTTGAACAGCAGTTAAGTATATGCCTTTCGGAAGGGCGGCAACTTCCCGTGATACTAAAGAATTTATAAAGCTCGCAACGTATTCAAGATGAGATTCAGGACAGCCCTTTATTAACTTAACCCAGCCTAGACCAGGAACATAATTCAATACATCTTCAGGTTTGCGAGCAGCCTCAAATGGTGTGGCTGCCATACTGGCCGGTAATTGGTGACCATGTCTTGCATACTGTGGAAGCATCTTTAGTGTGTAATTATCATACTTAAACTTTTCAAGTGCCATGTATGCAGCTTTCACTACTGGAAGTGATCGGTGAGATGCAACCCAGTTCCACAAGATGGTCAGAGCATCAGTAGTGAACTTATCATATTCTGTACTGGCCACATGGAGCACTGGCACAAGCCCTAATAGTGTGCAGAGTTTCTCTGTGACCCCAGGCCTCTTATCTCGTACCAATTTTGGCGCAATAACACGCCAAGTTGTCCGTAGATCTATTATCTGATTGGCACACAAATCATAGATACCATCCAGAGCTATGAGAGTCTGTGCTGTTCCATCTTCATCTCTACATTCATTTAGGAATCCAGAGAGAAGTGGTAAAAGCTCCTCACCATGTTGAGAAGGCCTGCAAAAAAAATAATACTGTAATGGTGTTATGCAACCTTTCTCTAGTGGTACATCGGTAGTTCTAGAGCTTACTTCTATCAATCCCAAGCCACACCCCCTTCTACCCGATCACCAGGCTCTCTTAATAATTACTAGGAGGAAGCAACGTTATCTTGCCTTCTCAAGACGGGAGGGCAGCTTGTGGTGTTTAAGAAATCAACTTGCCAACTTAGTGACCCACCCAACCACACAAAAAATTACACATCTCCAAGAGAGGTTTGTGAGTACCAAACTACCATACAAGCACCCTAACACCTTGATGCTTAACTTTCCCCTCCACCAACTAGTGAGGTATAAAGACCTTACTACAGCCAGTAGTCACTGACAGGCAAGCACCCGTGACAGCCCAGGGTCTTGCAGTAGCCCATTTTCTTGATTTGCCACAATGTAAAACAATGCAATGGTTTTGCCTAACTAGAAACATATGAATGCCAATGCATAGAAAATGTCAATAATATAATACCTTAATGTCACATTTTAAATGATTTGTTAATTTCACACCCACCTATAGCCCTAGTGGATTTTCTTGTAAAGATGCTATTCTATATTTTCAATATGTATATGAGTGGCTTTTGCAAAATGAAGTGCAAATTGATTTGCACTTCAAATAATTTTCCTACAATGCAGTAGATGTTAAGCCTTTGACCAATAGTTTGATGCAAATGATTATCTTGGCAATCAGCACAACATTTGCAACCCTTCATGATTTCAGCACTCTGTTCGACTCTAATGATATTAAATAGGGTCCAGGTAGTACAGTTGGGTTCGTTCTTGACATATAATCGAGAATTCCGGGTTTGAATCTCAGATGGGGACAGAAATGGTTGGGCACATTTCCTTTCACCTAATGCACCTATTCACCTAGCAGTAAGTAGGTACTCAGGAGTTAGTCAGCTTGTTGTGGGGTTCCATCCTGGGTGGGGACAGTAATTCGACCTGGGAGGTGGGGGGGGGACCATGATATAAGCCTAACAGGTATAAATACACTGGCTGCCTGTACCACGAGACAATGAATTATTATTAATTATTTCCTGGCGATACTGCCTGTATCTGTTTAAACCCCAACCAGTATCTTTGTACCTCAAAGGTGTAGGGAAGCACTTTTGAGGTACACAGGTACTGGTCTTTGCTGCCAGTGGGCTGGCATTGTCACAGGAGCTGATTGGCATTTGGCCGGCTCAGGGGTGCCAGTGTAATATGCTCTCATTCCTGGATTATTCAAGCATTTGTGCAATCACTCAAGAAACCTGTACATCTTTCTTTAATCGTGGCAGCTTTGTTTACATTTATTGAACAGTTTACATGCTTCGAAACTTCCCAAACCAAGGTTATTGTTACAAACAACCTCGTAGTGCAGGTTTTGTAAGCTGCATAAATGTATGTTGAATAATGGCCCAGGATGTACCTGAGGGGGGCAAGTAAAAGTAAAAAAGAAATTATTATTACAAATAAACTTAATTTTGAAAATAGAAACCCATTAAATACTAACCTAAATATTATTGTACTTACTTTGCTTTACAAACACTAGAGACCACAAAGGCACGAGCAATTTGAATCTCATTGGTATTAATGGACTTGTCGTGGATGAGCTGAGAAAGATATGAATAGGTTCTTGGCTCCACTGTCCACAAGTCATATACAAGACGCAAAACCAGTGGACGCAACGACCCAGATGACCAGAGAGCAAGAAGTGTCTTCAGCACCAGGGCAACACACAGCTGTGTGGGTTCAAACTTAGAATTAGAATATTTGTATTACCTTTACCTATCATGAAAAGGCCAGGTCTATACAGTACTACTTATTCCATCACTGGCACTTTGGTCTTAAAATATATACAATATAAAAAATCTCTAGACATGATGTACATTAGAATATTCTTAATACTTTCAATATTCACATTAGCATGTATATATTTATGTCTCTCTCTCTCTCTCTCTCTAAATGCACCCGTACTCTAAAATTAAGCCAATTTGCAATTACAAATCATATTTTTGCATGCAGGAGCAGACTACTAGTGACTCCTGTTAGCAGTCTTAGAGCATTGCCTTCCCATAATGCATGTTTAACCTTACAACACAATCTCCAACAAATCAATTTATAATTGCCATCCAATTATTTTCCAACTGAACAGGGGCAAACAGTTAAGGATCTGTGCCCATTCGACTATTCCTGTCCTCCTTTGATACTGTCAATTTAACTGCATGCCTTCATATTTTTTCCTTTGCAAAGAAGACATATGAAGAAAACGCAGCACTGAATGTAACGAAGTACCCCTTTTTGGGCGAGTCAAGACACATCAGTCATATGCATCGTGTTGGCCTACCGGAGACCAGAGCCAGAACTTGGTGCTCTCTAAGAGACACTGGGGACAGGGTATTATGAAACTCGCCAGGAAAGCAAAGACACCAGATAAGACTATAGACACAACTGCATGGTTCGTGAAAATAAACCACCAAAACAGTCAACAGAAACCACAAAAGAATCACTCAAAACGAGAGGTTCGTTCAAAAGCAGGTACGAATCGCAGCCAAGTAGGGAGGAGAGGGAAAGGGGTCAGGGAGCCACCCACAAAATGGCATTTCATTACATTCAAAGTTGGTTTTCTGGGGATGCCCCTTTGGTAGGTCCTTGAAGATAACAGCAGAGATGAAGGAAAAATGGGACTTACCAGGGAGGAGAGGTGGCAGCTACAAAGTCAAAGAAGAAATGTCAGATTGAGAAACCCAGCCCAGGGCAAAACAAACCTAAATGGGACTAGGAACACTGACTAGATACCTTGCCATCAAATCCCAGTTAGATCTCCAAAACCCCCAAGCCTGAATATCAGCCCACGACATACTGAAAACAACAGCTAAAGCCATGAACTTATGAACATTGTAGGCCAGAGGGTAGACTAGAGACTTGCTAGCTTTAATATCATGTTCTTATCCTGGAATTAGGAAGCATCAGAATCTTACACAGAAAGTAAACTTTCAAATTTAAAGACTGACTCTTTGAAGCTGTAAAACCTAGTCACATTGTGAAAAACTCTCATGTGAAATTAAAACAATGTAAAACCTACCTTGTTAACAGCCAGAGATGGTAGGGTGTAGAGAATAGTGAGGCGAGTGGTGGGATCAGTTTCACGACCTAAACGGTACAACACCATTGGGAATACCTCTAAAGATAACGCCTTTTTCTTCATCACTTCACGTTCCAGAACCTAAATTTAAGGAAAAACTGATGAAATAATACACTTGACTGGTACATCTAAGTTTTACTTGACTCATTTCACAACATATTTAAATTAACACAGAAGCAAATGTAAAAATTCAAAGCAGGAATTACAATTAACTTAATAATGAAAGTACTGTACATGTTTACATTTAAGATTACTTGGGCTGGATGGTAGAGTGACTGTCTCACTTCCTGCAGGTTGGCAAAATTCCACGACAGTCCAAGTGGTTTGGCACCATTCCTTCCCTTCATTCTATCCTAAATTTTTATCCTCATATCCCTTCCAATTGCTATACAGGTACTTATAGTCCTAATGACTTAGGACTGATAATTACCCATCTTCTGTACCTACCTTAGTTGCCTGTTGTACAGATTGAGTTGTGGAGCCTTGGTACAAAAACACAGATGTTACAATGGTGTGGTAGAAACTCGAAATCTGATTGATTGATGATGCTAGCTTTGTTAACCAGTCAGAGGCCAGCTTTGGGTCTCGTACTAGGCGGTCAGAAAATTCAAGGGCAGGAATGTACGAGACCAGACTGGAGAATGTACAACACAGTGTTTCCCAATACTCATTGCCTGTAAACAAACAGCAATAAATGTTTCTAAGATACTAATGTATACACTTCTACATAATATTTAGGAGTCAACACAGCAGACAAAAAAATCAGTCAACGAGCGTCATGGAGAGTGCCCGTCTGAGTAAAACATTCAGCCACTCCCAAATGTATAGCCTGTAGTATTCACTGAACAGGATTATGTAATCAGAAAAGACAACACACTGCAACAACACCACAAAGAATGTTTATAAGTGCTAAGAAGAAATCACTTGAAAATAACCAGACCAGCCAAAAACGGTTGAAAAAGATCTGTTCATAAATTTGAGCCTAACAAAACACCAAGGGAAGGCTGTGGTTAACTACCAATTAGTGCAACTCTCTACCTCGCTGCAGCACTACACATCAGTTCCACACACCAAAGCAAGTCCATGTGACAGGTTAAAAACATCCACATGTTGTATATGGGTCCTGTAGTACAGTCGTCTACATCCTAGACTCGCAATCAATAAATCCATATTTGATCCCAGGCAGGACAGAAATGGTTGGGCATGCCTCCTTCACCTGAAGTCTCTGGTCACCTAGCAGTTAGTAAGTATCCAGGAGTTGGGCAACTGTTGTGCTGCATCTTGGGGAAAGTTAGTAGCTGGCCTAGGGGGACCTCGATTAACCTAGGTACAAGGTTCCTGTCCCCAAACAATGTAAGGTAAGGCAACTACGAGGAGATAATGCTATTCAGACAACAGACATTATTTAATACATAAATAAAAAATTGTCACCTTTAATTTGGGTTTTGGATATGGCCAGATGGACTCTGCAGTTTATTTCCTTAAGGTTTTGAGAGTATGTCCCTATGGCCTCTTCTCTGACTGGGCCGCATGGATGATAGTCTCGCCAAACTGTTGGATGCCGCTGCATGCAGTATGCAAATCAAAGCCCGATTGATCAGGCACCCTTTGGAGGCATTTACTAAGTTGTCTGTTGAGCAGAGAGGTATATTGATAATGTGCCTTATATTTAGGAGAAAGGTGTTGAGCCCTCAATGTTTATAGATTTATCTCTAAACATAACTTATTGCACCCATACTTTTAAAACTGGCTATTTTGCACATTCTGCCATTAGTACAATGATATGTGATCAAGACTAATTCCAACAAATTTTCTCAAACTTGAAAGTTGCAATGTATAAAACATAATACTTGGGTGAGTGTTTTTAAGGAAATTTTAAAGTCTTGCTGGCTGCTGACTTGATGCATTGGTCTGTCCTGGAACACTAGTAATATCAATCCTCTTCAGAGTCCTTTGCAACCCTGTTTATCTAACAAATGGCTTTAAGCTACAGTGATAACACTCATTTCATTCACTCAATATCACAATACCTCCAATGTAGTAAAGTTACTTCAACAGGATATACTACAACTTTCCATTTTCTGTCTCTTGAGAGACATTTAATTTCATCACAAGTTCTTGACTGTTAAATGTTCCCTAATTGTCTAACAACTTCAAATAATGTTGCAGTATGATTGTTAGAATTGATAGGTATCAAAAAGGTATAATCAATATATGAAGGTTTGGAAATGTCTTGTCATCATAAGGGTATAGTCACGCTGAATGTCCGTGGCCCCCTCTATAGTTATGCATTATGATGGATCTGGCCGACCTCTTGTTTATTAAATATTTTCATTAATCATGTAAGATTCGCTAGGACTGGACCCTCCCCAGGATGCAACCCACAATAACTACCTAACTCCCAGGTACATATTTACAGTACTGCTACGTAAACAAAGGCATTAGTTGGAAAGTAAATGTGCCCGACTACTTCTACCATTTTTATTAAATGTGCCCCTACAACCACTTGAGTTGGACGGTAGAGCAACGGTCTCGCTTCAAGCGGGTCGGCGTTCAATCCCCGACTGTCCAAGTGGTTGGGCACCATTCCTTTTCCCCGTCCCATCCCAAATCCTAATCCTGACCCCTTCCCAGTGCTATATACAGTAGTCATATGGCTTGGTGCTTTCTCCTCATAGTTCCCTTCCCTTCTGTCCCACCTGGGGATCAAACCTGGGATCCTCGATTGCGAATTGAGAACGTAGACGACTATACCACAGAACCCATATTATGCTTGTGTTCCTCTATATTACCACTATAATCTCAAGAATACTGTTTCTTAATAGTCCAAAGTGTAATTACCTAATTGTAGTTACAGGATTCTCATCCTGTAACTACAATTAGGTAATTGCTACACTCGTGGCGTCCCATCTTCCCAGCACTCTGTCATATAACGATTTGAAAATGCTGATGGTTTTGACCTCCACCAACTTCTCACTTATCCTATTCCAACCATCCACCACAGTTTGCAGAAGTGAACTTAATATTTTTTCAACATCTTTAATTCCTTAGCTCGAATCTATGGCATTTTTCTTTGAAGTTGCAGTTTTCAAGACGTCTTCTTTGTCAATTTTGTTGATTCATGTTGCTATTTTGTTTGTAGTTATCAAATCTTCTCTTTTTTCTTCTATCTTCAAGCTTTGGCAAATTTAACACTTCTAGCCTCTCCTCGTAGCTCTTGTTTTTCTGTTCTGGAAACCATTTAGTAACACATCTTTGCATCTTTTGCAGTGTATTATTGCCTAAATATTGTTCCTGTTAAGTATTATCCCAGCTCAGTCTAGGTGTCTACAGCTCTTACCCATCCCAATGCTCAACACTGACCACTATCTTATAAACAAATGTCCTCACTGGTACACACGTCAAAACTGCCAGATGGTGCAAGCCAACATTTAAGAGTTAGTGCAACAAGCACATCCTGCAATGAAAGAAAGATTTAAATGTATAAAAATATTTCAATAAGCATAAAAATAATTTACTGGATACAATACCTGCCAGCTGGGTATTAGACGATGCTTGTGCAGGTGTTGCCTGTACAAGAGACACCAAGGCCGCAGCAGCAGTAGTGAGGCCAGGCACCGAGGTGCAGGGTGCGGACAGAACTTGGAGAAGAGAGGGTAAAAGCCTGGCACCAACTAAAGGATTTCCATCCTTATACGACAGGAGGGTTGCACCTGAAATTCAACAATGAAAGGAGAGCTGCTTACTATAGAAAACTAAGCACAGTACTTAGTACATTATGGTAAGGTACAGAACACTGGGATTTTGAATAATCAATAACCTGTACACTGCTTTTTAAAATAGCAACATCCAAGTGCACATGGGAAACAACCAACATTAAATATAATGCAATGCCTCTTTCTGGTGGGTGTCAAGATGGCATGTATATTTTAAGGGTTTAAAAACAGTGAGCAGAGATTATGGTGATTAATTTAGAAGAGCTTATTCTGATAGGAAAATTTCTAGAAGAAAAAATGCTCAAACTCAAAATATGACAACATGCATAATTCAGTTTACAAGCAATTTAGTCAGCAGCATTATTTTGGAAAGACTGTTTGCTCCAGAGTTTAAGTAATAATTAGGTTTCCTTGTATTGCAAATTATAACTTAAAGATGTGGAAAGGTTTGCTCTGCTCTTCCACATCACAGCGAGTGGTATCTCTCTCTCTGCACTATCTCTAGCCATAGACTATGTGGTAACACCATGTGCAAAGTTTACCATGATGAGGTTATAAGTTGAGAGCCTTAGGCGTGAGCAGTGTCTTGGGTGGACTAAGGCCTTGGCTGGGGGACCAGTGGTAACCTGCTCTACTGATTATTCAAAATCAATGCTCATTAATCTGAGGTAGTATCAATATGCAAATCCTTTGATTTCATTAGAGCACCATAATTTTGATACTACAGTTTAAAGCAAAAGAATTGCAGTGCATCGAGTGTGAAGACATGACAACCAGAGGGGTTGCTCAGGTAGCAGCGTTTCCATCCATTCATCAATTGGGTTTGTACCTAACACACAAATGGGAATCCTGGGTTCAAATATTGAGCAGGACAGAAATAATTGGGCAAGTTTCCTCTCACCTAATACGTCTGTTCACCTAGCAGTAAACAGAAGCCCTGGAGTTAATCAAATGTTATGGGGTTGCATCCTGGGGAGGGTGAGTGCAGTAGTTCTCCTTGAGAAAACGTTATATAAGTACATATTAACACAGGCTGCCTGTCCCTGACAAAACAAATTATTATTATTTTTGGTTATACATATTAAAAATGTTTTAAATTTGAGTCAATATACTGAAATATTATCAGATAATGCATGGAAACCTAGCAGAACAAATATTACAAAACTACAGTATAAGGAATTCCTATTTGAGATAAGTTATTTATGAGCTTATAATATACTAGTTAATACAGAAAAAGTATAAGAATAAAATGACACATTCCATAAACAAAAAACTAACTATAATTTGAGCAAATTTTTATAGTAATTTCTTACCCAATTTTAGTAAATTGACTTGCAGTTGGCCACACGTCTGTGGGAGTATTTCAGCTAGAGCACAGATAGTTATGTCACAACCACGACCGAGACGAGAAGCTATGGTATTCATGTAACGCTCCAATGTCCTGGTCCCTAGTCCTTGTTTCTGTAGGCATAAATATCAAGTTTACCAATATCAAATTTTAGCCAAAAAAAATATGAAAATAATATTTAATTTAGGAGCATGCACAATCCCAGTACTACACACCTGATGCTATTAGATCTTGTATTCTCAGAGCAGAGGTTCAACAATGACAGATCTCACAGCACCGGGGATGAAAACAATCATCAACCCAATGGTAGATTGGCAGACATATAGACTGGTCATTGGCATGTACTAAGGGCCTCAATACATACCCAGGAAAACTGCACACCAGGAAAGCAGACTTAGAGGTAAGTTCCATAATGCCCACTAAACATGAGACTTGCAGGATAAATGGCAGCACTGACAAAGACCTGCTCAAATGCCGACCGCTAGGGAATGCATAGCATAACAGTTATGCCAACCCCCCAACCTGGGAAAATGTGATAAAGGAGGGCAAATGCCATTGCAGGAACTAAGAGCTGGAAACAAACCCACAGCATGCCCCGAGAAGAAAATTACAAACTCAGAACGCCCCAACCAATGAACCCTGTGGAAGAGCCAAAACATATACACTACCTGGGGCGAGGCACAATCGACTTGATAATGGTCTAGGACGGACCAAAACGTCGTCTTCTCGTCATTTCCTGGTGTGTGGTTTAGTCTTCAGCTTAACTGAATACCACTGTTGTGGGTTGCATCCTGGGGAAGGTCATTAGTTGGCCTAATGGAAACCTCGAAGAGTCTAGGTACAGGCTTCCCGTCCCCAACAATAGGAGTTAAAAAAAATTCATATAACTAATTTTATACAAAGTTTTCTTACCATAGCAAGAGGAACTGCCATCACTAGACATGGTAGAAGAGCCGACTGTAGTCTGGTCAAACTGCTCCCCACTGCTATCTCTGCCAGGGCAGTCAACACCATCACTTTCCGCTCCACATGGTCTCTGCTACTGTCCTAGAAATAGACAACATATTAATCTCAAATGCATGGTTTTCTGCCTCACACAGATCTCAACATCCATAATTTTCCATCCAATGGGAATTATTGTTGCTTACTTTCTCAGGCACTGTTTCATATTAACCAATCCCATCACCATATGCAAGTTTTCCCATTTGATTTGTTAACTATTTTTAATCATGCGTGGATCAATGTACAACTTTTAAATACTGTAGCTCCATCTTTTAAGGGCTAATGAAGCTGGTTTGTAGAACAAGACTTATTGAAAGAACTTTTTATGAAAATAATTGTAACATTTGCCTTTACCCAGATTTCAAAGAGTGTGCAAATCTAATATTTAAATTTAATATCCAGGTTGGCAACTGTAAAATAACTGTATAAAAGACTGCAGCTGCATAAATAAAATTGAGCATATTCCAATTTCCTTCATCATACTCTATAATTGAACATCCAATTGTAAAAGATATGAGGGTGACATACACTGACTTTATTACTAAACCTACCACTCATGATACCATTATATCTTACACTTACTGCAAACAACTCTTCAGTGAAGGGTAGGTTATCTTGAGATCTTGAGATGATTTCGGGGCTTTTTTTTTTTTAGTGTCCCCGCGGCCCAGTCCTCGACCAGGCCTCCACCCCCAGGAAGCAGCCTGTGACAGCTGACTAACACCCAGGTACCTATTTTACTGCTAAGTAACAGGGGCATAGGGTGAAAGAAACTTTACCCATTGTTTCTCGCCGGCGCCCGGGATCGACCCCGGGACCACAGGATCACAAGTCCAGCGTGCTGTCCGCTCGGCCGACCGGCTCCCCCTAATGTAATATGTAATAGAACATGATTCCCTCCACACATGCTCATCACTCTCCAAGACCCACCTATCTTTTATCCTATGCTTCTCTAAACAGGCATATAACCACTTACACATTATTCATTCATAACTCGCTCTGTACAATATACACTTATGCATATCCCTATTTTTTAAAATGCACTATAGTAATAATAAATAATGCTTTCAATGTACAAATTTCTATAAAGTTTTACCATTCAAAGAACTCATTATAATTATTCTGCAGTTCCTAGGAAGTATACCAATACCATGCTTCTTATACTATTTCAGTGTCAGTCACCCTCGTGCCGTCATCATAACATTTTATTCACTTGACTGAATTTCCTTGTGCTTTTGGAAATAATCTTTAATTTTATAGAAATATTAAATTATAATTCATAATATTAAAGGAATTATAAAACACCACACAAATTGATACAATATTCTTATCCTACTGTAAAGTGTTATAACTGGAACAACACAATTGCTGCCTTCACCCTCTCAAACTTCAATTTCAAACACAAGCACTTACATCTGTGACCCAAAATATTATCCAAAACTCCCATATCTCTGTCATTAACAAATGTATTCCTTCCATACTTCTCTTTCACTCTTACTCATACAATATTAACTCCAATCTACTCTTCATTTACTCTTCCAATTAGCTTCATCTTATGTATATATAACATATCACACATTCCTTCTTAACACTTTCAGTTAATTATTCCTCATTTATAACTAACATTTCACAAAGTTATAAAAGTCTGTCTTTGTTTTCTTGGCATGGGCAGGTGCCAGTCCCAGATACAAGACCAGTCTTAGTCTTTGTAGAGAGGAACTGGGAAAAATGTACCCCAAGCTCAATCCAATCTCATTATCATAGGGAATGAAGGGTTAATTGTGCAACATACTGGTGGACAGCAGTCACTACATCTCAATGTGTAGGTTATATTTAACATTACCTTAATGAGAGGAGCAATACGACACAGGAGTGGAATAATATTAAGCTCGGCATGGGTGATATGAGAGCTAACGATGAGTGAGAGCAGAGGGCGAGCAAGTCCCAAGGTCTTCTCCGTTAAACAGAAAGTGTGCAGCAGAAGTGGACGTATGTGATAAATACTAGAAGTCCTCACTCTGTGGAACAAGGAAACCCAAATGTTATCATAGTGTTACCTTATCTGCACAATCTTCTATTATCCACATGCAGAATGTTGCCAGAAAAGTTGGGCTTGATGACCAAGGTGTCTGCACATTTGACCAACAAGCACCATCTTATAAGCAAACTAGCTAATGAATCACTTGCATATGGGCAACTGAGGGATGGCTCCTGCTGTCCTACCACAATATGCCTTATGCAATACAGTTTTGTGAATTAATATTAATAATTACCCCTTGATAAGCAAGTAAAATAACACTTCTAAAACTGCAAATGAGACATTACATAACACTCTTTTTCCTATAAAAATTACTGGAGGCAATTATTTGTGGTGCCATTACTGTACATGTAAAGATTAAAGGTAATGCAGCAAATTTACTCACCAAAAATCCTTAAGAACTGGGTTCATCCGGGGTTTACTGACCCAGGTGAGGGTACACTGTTCCCCAGTCCCGAGTTTACTGACCCAGGTGAGGGTACACTGTTCCCCAGTCCCGAGTTTACTGACCCAGGTGAGGGTACACTGTTCCCCAGTCCCGAGTTTACTGACCCAGGTGAGGGTACACTGTTCCCCAGTCCCGAGTTTACTGACCCAGGTGAAGGAACATCATGGCTACAGCTTGAGTTTATTGACCCACATGAGGGAACGTTGAAGCTACAGTCAAGTTTACTGTACCAAGCGAGGGAACATCGCAATTACAATTCTACCCTACTGATCTCATTTTATGGGTTATCACTTCATGGTCACATTTATTAAATGACTTTGCAAACTTCATATATACAACATCTGCATTTTGTTTTTCTAAGGCTTCCATGATTTCACAATTGGTTAAGCAATTGCAAAAGATAGGATCTTCCTTTTCTAAATCCGTGTTGAACTGGGTGTGAAGTTAATTTTACTCATTTTACCACCATAAATCTCCAGTAGGAGCTTTGACTCCTACTATTAGTTAGCTCCACACCCTCACCATAACTTAGGTATTTACCAGATGGCAGCCCCGGCAACCCAAGGACCTGAGGTAGCTAGCTTAATCATTTATGCAGTGCCCAAGCCAGAATCCCTGAAGAACAGGGGTAGAAATGAAAAGATATAGAGGGTAACCCCTAGAGAGGCGTTTCATTACATTTAACACTAGATTTCTAGGTTCCCTCACTCTTTCCCAGAGTACTGGTTAGGGAGGATTGACTGGGCTCTAATTCTTAACTGTTTGCCCCTATTCACCTAGCAATAATTGGGGTACCTGTTTGTTAGCCGATTGGCGGTGCGTGTTCTAGGGAAAACTAGCAGGGTAAGGCTTACCATGAGCTATGGGAAGGGAAAACCTTTTGACTCCTGCCAGCAGGAGTCAGAATTGATATGCTCCTGTACCCACCTGTGAAAAAAAATAATAATAATAATTGGAACAGAACATACAAAGCTACTTTGTCATGTCTCACATTGTAAGTACACAGAGGAACCACTAAATGTCATGAAAAGTACTTAAAGAAACAAAGCCATGAACAAACCTTTGTTCTGGATGTCTTAAGATGCTAGCCACTTCCTCTAGCACAGTGGGAATTAAATCTACTCTTTTGATAATCAGAGTCACAAACGGATGGGTTGGTCCTGTGGGGGGACCGGTGAAAGGGCACTGTATTTGTCCATCTTTCTCAATTTGTGACATCAACAAAATTGCAGTTATTCCTTGAACAAGTGCACTTGGAGATCTGGTAAAAAATATATAAATGTTGCACTATATATTTATAACACATCATGGCAAATAGCAATAAATCACCCCTTACCAGCAACAGGACCCATTTTCATAGTAATTTCTTGGAAAACTTATAGCAAAATTGCATTAGTTGAACAAAGAGAACACCAAGTGTTTACAGTCACATAAAGAAACATTAAGAAGAGAGGAGACACTTTGTAGATTATGTTTTGGCTGTAGGAGGGATTTATCAAATTGGATAAAGCCTTTATAAACATATGGTTCATTAGGGCTGTCGACTGAAGTATTTAGTGAAACTGCAAGCAACCAAGAGCTTTTATCCTACCTCAGCTCATCTAAAGCCTGCTCCTAGAGGCTCATTTATTTCATAAGAATGACCTTTGAGACTAATTAACTGTCGTATAAGAACCAGTACCTGGTGAAACGGCAAGCAAGAGCTGTAATTCTACTTCAGCTCAGTTGAACTTTGCTCCTAGAGACCCATGAGTTTCTTATCTGTATCATTAGGTATTTTCAAGGCAAATGGGGATGGGGGAACTTCAACAAGCCGCTGGCTTCCTGTTCTCATCTAGTGATGGTGGCCCTCAGGTAAATAAATTAGGAATAAACTTCATTTAGCTTTAAGTAACAATCATACAAGGAACAGGATGAGCCCATAACCAACTGTGTGCCAGAGCCTTCATGTGATCAGTTGACCTGATCTCTCCTATATCAACCTGTTGAGTAAACAAATTCCAAATCCAAGTCAGACTATGAATGAATGATCACTGATGGAGTGATGTTCTTGAAAAAGGGAGTTCCAGCACGAGACTGCTGAAAGTTGAGAGCCTAGTGTTACGGGTGCCAACTACAGGTTGTCCACAGAGTTAGGCCAGATCTGGAACTTAGAGAATGTTGGCCTTGTACAGTACATAACAGTAAGTAGACCAACTTCATGACGGTGTTGCAGGCTCTGATCAAACTGTTCCCACTAGACTTGATCAAGACAAAGAGATGAGACTTCTTGAAAGGCTCTCTACTTTGTCTAAAAGTGTGATGAATGGAGGGCAGGCAATCCAGGAGAGGAGTGCATACTCAAGATGGAAGTGAACCTATGCTTCATTCCTCCCTCCCATCTCTCTTCACACTATCTCAGTTCAATATTACAAAGTACTGAAAAAATGGTAAAGACCTACATAAAACAAATCCCTGATTTCAGACTTCATGAAAATCGCAGGGGGACACTATAGATGCCGATATTTCATAAAGTATGGCACTGGAGATGACCGCGACTGGCCAATTACACCCATGTTATATTTGACTTTGACTACAAATTTTTAAGCACTACAATAATTTACACTTTGATTAGGTGGATCATGGATGATAACACAGCCAGCTCCCAACGTTTAGCCTCGGCAATGGCTTAGATGAATAATCCTCACCTACTCGAACATTTGTACATTCTTTTGAACAATTTGTATCGAATACAATTTGTTCAGACTATCCAGGAATTCATTAGTGCAAGGTTCATTACAATAAGGATGTACTGAATAAACCTTCTACCATAAAATACTTAGCCTACTACTATATCTGTAAATATTATATCATTTACACCTGAAGACCATTTGCTCAAAACCTTGCATTCGAGTAGTAGCTTTATAAAAACAAGAAATACAGTACAGTAACTATGTAAAAATTCTACTAAGTACAGTATGTTATTACAACTATCATTTTATTAGTACACTTACTTTGCACAGGTGACATCAGCCAAGAAATTTTGTAGAACGGCAGGCATGGGAAGCAGTCCTGACTTGATAAGTGCTACCAGTGTCTCAACAGCGAGGGTAGCCTCCGTTATGTCCCCTTTGTTGACTGTCTGCCATAGTAACTTCACCTCATCTGACTTTGGAAACAACAACAGACAATCCAGTACAGTATTTATTTTGGATTACATTAACGTTTACATGCAAAAACTTCATTCATCTTTAATTAAGGCAACATATTACCTTTATTGTTTCATTTATAAGCCCATTTAACTTACTTTCCTCAAGTATTCAAATTACAGTACAAATGTATTATATTCATTGCCCCACATATTTAACCCAATTATCACAAATATATATTTTACAAGATGAGTAAATCAAAATGAATATTAACGAGACACGAGTCGGGTAAAGCAGTTTCTCAATCAGGGTTCCGCATAACCCCAAGGTAACCTGGTGTTCAACAAGAGATGTTGTTAAATAGGATAATTCTAATTGTATGCAAAAGTATTTCTAGTCATTTTTTGTACTTAATTTTCTCATTTAACCAGTATCATGAACAAAAACTTAAATCATCATCTTCCAGTTGACAATGAAATCTGAGTGTGTTTATCTAAAGTACAACCCAGAATTATTTCAAGGGCACAAAGGTTGAGAAACACTGGGTAAAGTATCCCCAATCTCCTTAACCAATAAATCTCAGGATAAAAAATACGAACTACTCTTAAAAAACCAAATGTACTCTGTTGCAGTCTTTCCTCACATCCATCACTCTCATTTCATAACTCATTAATGATGTTATATTATGCACTATTGATTATCTAACAACAATGTTAATTGCACTGAACTACTGCACTACAGGTCACACCATCAAGGAAGTAAACCGAGTACACTGTAACCAAAAATTTAAAAAATTAGAATATGCACACAACAGCTGACTGATAAGCATTATATATATCAATAATAGCATGACTGTAATTTGGCTAAGAGTTACGTTAGGTCTTATTCCTCTACTCACCTCATATAAGGAGGTCCCATCTTTGTTATTCTCCACCATCTTTGTATGCAACTTTGTAATTGCCTGAAATAAAGACAATAAATAAATCATTTATTGAAATAAAATGAAGATTCTTTAAGAGCATGGCACATACATAAACATCAAGAGCTAACTAGTGTTACGAGATAACCTACATCACGTCAAAAGCGGCTGGTAAGTTTACCTAGTCATTTGTACACAAGGTATGTAAGATCTGCAACCCATACTCTTGATAATTCTACAGGTTACTGTTACAAAGGGGAAGCAAGTCATGGTTGGGAAACCAGACTCTTCTGCACATGCATGCTCAAATAGCACACAAACCACAGTTCAATACAGTACTGTATTGGTACTTCCAACTTTAGATATATATACACACACACACACACAGGCATGTTGCTGTGCTGTATCCCCAAAAACCTTAAAGTTAAGGAGCCCTACTCTCTCTTAATAGAATTATCAGGGCCTATCCAATTGTTGAAGTGTTGCAGATGACAAAACAGCACGGCTGGTTGTTTCCAGTGCCCTGCGATAATCCTTACGACTGTGTCAAAGGTCACTGTGTCAGTCAAGTAGGCATTTAGACTGGACTCCTGATTAACAATTGGGTTATTCTACAGAAAGGGCGATCCCAACAGTGGCTATAGAAACAGAGCACAGGGGGGTGGTGTTAGCATGATACTACACTGCAACGTCAGCTACATACAGGCTGCTTGCTCCTCACACACACACACCTCTCTCTCTCTCTCACAGGGTCTTAACAATTCTTATTACTAAGGAGAGCTCCCACTTGACATTAACCCTTAAATGGCTCGGCTAATTAAAAGTTTTACATCAAAAAGTTCATGACAAAATAGTTCACAAAACTAATGTAAAAATAAAATCACATTTGGAAATTCAAGCACAAGTGGTACTTGCAGATAGTGATTGGAGCCATTTAAGGAATAAGCAGGATGGTTTACATGGTCAATTGAGAGAGATTATGAAGATTTGTTTGTGATAGATTACAGAGATTTGCGAGCAATTTGCAAATGCCCTCCCTGTGATAGGTTATGGCAAAATATTGGCACCTATTGCACATTTATTAAAACTTGAATGTTCATGATATATTCAATCAGCAAAATTGGGTGCCAATTTTACTTTATTGTTGAGAAGTCAGTGAGTTGGGAAGATTCCCATAGCCAAGAGACGGTTGGTGGTAATGAACTCCCACATTCAGTTTGGTCACACCTAATGACTCTTGCCCAATTTTATCTTGTTAGCAAAATGTCAACAGGTCATAAAACAGTCCAATAAAGACCGATTTCAACTAAATCAGTCATTAAAATGCAAAATACACGAATTGAGAGCTATTGTAATACAGGTACTTAAATTACAACTTATCCAATTTTAACTTGCCTGACTCTGAAGGAACACATTCCCAGAGTTTATTTTTTGTTCGTACTCGTCCATAATTAAGCCCATCTACCTGAAAATATATACAATCTCTTCAATATTTACATACAAATTAAATACCTTACTACAGACTACAATATTCACTGGGAACCTTAAGACACCCTACCAACAGGTGGGAATCACCCGTTTAAATCTGCCAAATGTTTTAAACAGGTGCTCTAAACACCTGTTAAAACACTATTGTGAAATGGTGATCTGGCAATAATCACATGGCTTGTGGTACAAGATATCATCTATAATAGACATCTAAAAAAGATAGCATAAATTTCTTAGGGGTTTAGGTTAACACCATTACATTCATATACAGTAGATAGATGTATTATAACAATACTGTATCTACATCATTTGTACAGCAACATGGCAATAACTAAAATCAACATATAACTTTCACTTTAAGGGTTAATTCCAGTGTACAAAGCATGGTAGTTGGTAGTGCTGCATTAATTACTGAATAATTCTCAGTTGGTCTGAATGTACTACTTATGTACGGCCGCAGTCATTTTATAATGTCACATTATTCTGTATACAAATACTTCACAACCCCTATGGACCTGGATCAGATTACTTTACCTGTATCCAAATGGTAGTGCTTCAAGAGTTTATATTCCATTGTGAAAACTTGGGCACGATATGACAGTACCTGTACAATGGGGCGTGTTCAAACCATACACAAGCATTTTGACATCGCTCATTTTCTAATTGTTAAAATCATGTGTAGTCAGGTTATGTTGGTTTTAAAAAGTTTACAAACCAGAGATGTTTAGGCACTTTTTTTTCACCTAGCAGTAAATAGGTACTCAGGAGTTAGGCAAATGTCATTGGGGAAGGTCAGTAGTAGGCCTATGGGAAGATCTTGACAAGCCAAATAGGCTTCCTCTGTCCCTGACAAGGAGTCACCAAACTAATCTTGGGGACAAAGTGACCGGTGTTATATTATAACAAAGTAGAGAGAGGAGGTAATAAGAGGAGCGGCGACTACACAGACACACACATGTTAGAGGGAGACTCGTCACACCGTTGTTGTTATAGATTCAGCTACTCGAAGTTCCAAGTAGCACGAGCTATGGTGAGCCTGTAACTTACCTGGCACAGGAGCGGGGCAAGTAGCACGGGCTATGGTGATCCCGTAGTGGACTAACCCGGCACAGCAGCGGGGTTGTGTTTATGGCATCAGCTGATGTTGTTGTTGTCAATGTTTAGCTCTTGGCGGCGCCTGGTATAAAAGAAAATAAAAAAATTTATTCAGGTAAAAGTACATATATAGATGATGAGTAACAAACATAATGTTGAATTTATAGATAGAGGTAGCATATGCAAATGTGGCGCGGGTCATATTTGGCCCAATTTGTTGGTCGACTGGAGATATTTAGCAGTGCTTTGACTATCTACCCGAAACGCTGCGCGTACTAGTGGCTTTACAAGATTGTAAATACTATGCTATGTATTCTCACAAACCCAATGTATCTTCTTGTATATAAATAAATAAATAAATAAATAAATAAATAAATAAATAAATAAATAAATAAATAAATAAATAAATAACTATTTGGTATCGGTCCGTAGAATTACCCAAATCCTCCTAGCATTACGTAAGTAATGAAGAAATATGGTATATTTATTTACTATAATGTTGGTGCTACACGCAGAACGTGATCAAACCTACATTTACTCTGAAATAATCTAATTGCATAACGAAATTAGAAGTAAATATGTGGGAGGTGACGCCATAGGAAGTCGACGGTCCAAGTGACCATTTTGTGGAGCGACTTATCCGCGATATATGGTCGCCGGGAGTGTTTGCTGCCATGTCAAGCTCTTATACACAGTGATCCAGTCGTCGCACTTCTTGGCTAAAATTGTCGCACATTTAACTTAATTAATTGGTAATATTAACAAGTAGAATGTGTATTTATAATAATATCTTTCATAAACAGCCACTAAATATTTAATATTTATTAAACAAAACGTGTCTGGAAGTTAAATCAACTCCACAGGACAATAAATTTGTAATATAGATACTAGCGTTATTCGTTGATATGCGTTCGCTATATAAACTGCTCATGTCCTTTTCGTTCATAGAACACCGAACCTACACGGCCTCTGATATATTGCTTAATTAATAAAGATTCACAAATAAAGATTATATTTGTATATGTTATCAAAAAGGCAGAGATAAAATAATTTTTGTGAATCCATCACAGAGATTATACCTTATTAGAGAGGAAAAATATTCATATATTCTTTTTACCCATTAGTTTTAAGCTTTAGTCATTAATGTTTTTCCTGCCCGAAACGCTTTGCGTAATAGTGGCTTTAGGCATTGTATGTACTAGCTCTATCTATAAAGCCAACAAACTTTGTAAAATCTCTTTATGTATGTACCTTACCTAAATAAAATTATTATTATATTATATTATTATTATTATTATATTTTAAACAAGGCTTCTTGGCCGACGCTCTCCCTATCGATATATGGGAACTACGACCTTTCGAAGATCAATGTTAATTTAATCTAGATATTGTAATAATCGAATAATCGAAACCCTTTTAGCGTGTAATCACAATGTTTCTGTAATTAACTTGAATGTTAGATCTCTAAGCAAACACTTTGATGATGTTAATGCCCTATTCAAACAGTTGACAACAAATTATCTTTTATTGTATTTACTGAAACGTGGTTAAAAGAGGACACTACTCAACTCTACAACATACCAAACTACTCAGCTATTCACAACTGTCGTCCTATACAAAGAGGTGGTGGTACTTCTCTTTACTACCAGCAAGAACTGACTTGCTTAAAAGTAATTAAATCTAGAGACCCTTATGGAGAGTATATATTTGCCTGTTTCAGAGTCAAGGGTAACGATGGGTCAAGGGTAACGATGGGTCAAGGGTAACGATGCTGTCTTGACTGTGGGAGCAGTCTACAGGATGACTCCTGGTTCAACCTTGAGGCCGAGCGGACGTCTGGACTCCTCCTCCGCCTGGGAGCCGCCTGATCACGTCTTGTTTTCGCGTTTTGGCTTTGCTACTGCCATTTGGCATCCTTTTTCAACGGTCCGATTGTACGACAACTGGCGCACATATCTTCTTGGGTCACAGGGTTGTTGATAGATTTTTTTTGACGTGTTCTAGCTGGTTCTCCCGGCGGGGTGACGGTGTTCGGGGGCCGGTTTGGCCGAGAGGTACAGGGGGTTGGTGGGTCTTGATGGGTTCCTGGTGTGCCCTCAGCCGTGGTGGGCGGCTGGCTTCTGCTCTGCCGGGGGACACTGGATGACTTTTTGCGTTTTAGTTGGGGGCAGAGTTTTGGTTTTGCTACCTGAGGGACTCCTGGGGCTCCCCAATCATCTGCCTGACTGTGCGTTTATTTGCCATATGGCATATTAGTTTCTAGTGACTGGCGTCACTCGTTTTGCGATTTGGCTTGGCGTTCCACCTCTCCAGGCTTCGTGATTCACCCTTAACGGGTCCGCCGGGGCGCCTCCCATCCCACCATCGTCGTCGCCCCTAAAGCAACAACAGTCTACAGGGTTCCTAACATTGATGTGACTGAATTTAACTCTAACCTTAGAAATCTTATACTAGAGAACAGACTGAACAAAAACCACTTGTTAAAGTCACCATTTCTGGTGACTTTAACGCTGACCTCTGCGAGCCTGATAACTCTCCTGCTGCTAGTTTCCTCAACTGTATGAATTCCTGCTTCCTCATACCATTAATCACTAGACCTACTAGAATCACTGACAGTACTGCCACGGCTCTTGATCACATCTGGACCACCATAACCTCTCCACTTACTTCAGGGATAATCATCGATAGCCCTACAGACCATTACCCCACATTTCTCCTAACCAACATTAACAAACCACCTCTAGAGGTTGTAACAGATCCCATGAGCACCACACCAGAAACAAATACCTATTTGATATTCCAAGAGTACGACTTAGTCAAACTAGAAATGCTTTACAAATCAAGGGACTTGAATGTGGAACGACCTTCCCAATTATGTTAAAGACTGTACCTCACCCAACCAGTTTAAGATAAAAACAAAGTACCGCCTAATTAACTCAATGTAACCTACCTCGCCCCTAAATGTCAACCCATGTCTACGATTTTAAACAATGCTGTTTGTTGACCAAATTGTATTTTTGCTTTTTTCTGCCATGTACCCCCCCCCCTTTTTTCATTTTTTTCTGATTTTTTCTCAACACAATTTATACTTCAGTCTAAGTTAGTATTAAGTTTGTCTTAGTGTTTTTCCTGCCCGAAACGCTTTGCGTAATAGTGGCTTTAGGTATTGTATGTACTAGCTCTATCTATAAATCCATCAACTTTTGTATTTCACCTTGTATGTATGTACTTTACCTGAATAAATATTTGTATTTTTGTATTTGTATACTGTAATCAGAAATTTTGTTTTCCAATGTTCCTTTTAGTCAAGTGTCCTTCATTATTTACAAAGGATTATACTGTACCATCATTTTATGTCTAAAAAATAACAAAATATATGCAGAGAGAGAAAGTCACAAGAATGTGGCTGAAAAGACAAAAATCCAACTCGTACACATAAAATGAAATGAAAGTGACAACGTTTTTGTCCATCCAGGACCCTTATCACGACCTGATAAGGTTCAGGATAGACCAAGGTATCAGCAGTCATTCATTTTACTTAAGATTAAGCTATTAAAATACATTTTTGGAAAATGACAATACACGATATTGTAAAATTTTACTGACAAATGCAGCTATATACAGTATGCTTATGTGATATTCTAAGCACAATATTATTTAAACATACAAAATCTGTGTGATGAAAACATTCTATACAGGCCGTAGAGTTAAGCTCCATTTTGAGGGTGATTTTTGAAGACTAGAGACTAGATCCAAACAACGGTGGAATGCTGCCCATTCATTAAAAGTATCCCGCATGCAATTTGTCACACACTTGGATATTTCTCATTTAAGACATTCAAATTTACAAGGCTAAGTCGCCTAACAATTTAAAACATGTGCAACCATTTAATTTTTTTTCTACATACAGCTCTATTCAATGGAATTAAATACAAAATTTGACCTGTTCAATTATACTTTGAGTATATTTACAATTGGATTTGTACTTGATAGCTATAGAATGGCTGTCACAATGTAATGCTGGTAGCTTGAAATTAAATGATATTTTGTTTAGTAAAAAGTTGTCTTTCAATAATGGCATTATATTTATACAATAAATATAAATGTCTCATATAAGCTTAATGTATTGATCACATATATCTCTTGCTTTCCACAAGAAACTATATGCGTTACTTTCTTACACTATACACATTAATGCACAAAAATATTTATTCAGAAAACTTTAATGTTCATACACTATGAAACCTAGTTGTTAATTCTGTGAAATTTTATTGTACAACAATGATTAGGAAAATGTTAATGTTTTGAGTCATGCAAATACATGTTGGAGTTTCAAAGATCCATTCTCATTCTTGAAGTGGTCAGAGGCTTTGGAAAGCACTATTTATGGCAAGATTTTCCCCAGTGTTAGATACTAGTATGAGATCTGGCTCAAGTGTGTTCAGTGGGTGTGCCTGTTCTTGGTAACTTTGGTTACACACAGCTGTCACGACACATTCATCTGGCTCACAGCTTGGAAGCCTGCTGGAGATACCATCAAACCAGCCACGGGGATTCTAAACAACACAAAAACCAATAATGTCATCTGCATATAAATTTAGATTAGACACACAGTATTATTAAAAACAAAAATCATACAATTATCACTGTCATTTAGTCACTATAACTTTATTTATGTTATTGCAGCTTTATCCATTTAATATACAAGTATTTAAATAAAATATTTATATCAGGCTAAAAACTTGAACAGTAATAAGTTAATTAGTAATTTAATTCTACATTACATGTAACATACATTCCTCAGTTTTCCATACTCAATTATAACAAAAATACCCATTGCAAAGCAACTGTTCTTTCACCTAGGACATCACATTTTGTGGGGGATTCAATGAATCCGCTAAAATACAAAAAAAAAAAAAAAAAAAGAGTACTGCATTAGTAATAATTAGTGAAAAATAAACCTTGGCTTCGATACATTTGGTATGTTTTTTGGCTTTGAACATTTCTGGCTCGGCAAAACAGTTGCAGTTTTTTATGCAGTGGCAAATCAAGGGAATGGGTTGATCAAAGATTGTTACTGCAAATTCGCTGTATAGGCCTACATGAAGGATAAATTTGATAGTGGTGTGAAGTAGACTACTTCTGTACTGTGATCAGCTCATCCTGCCATATTGTAAATGGGGGAAAACAAAAGATTAATATAAGATGTGATATAAAAAGCTTAAAAAATCTATGATACTGTACAGTCTATACAATTTTTCATCAACTTTTTGAGCAAATACAGTACTGCAGTATAAACAAACAAATTCTAAACTTTAATGTCATTTTAAATTCTATACTACTGTAGAAATGCAGGGACACTATACAGTACATAAATACAATTACATTAACAGTACTGTATTGTATACATGAAATTCCAAGTGCATATATTTGACTAAGTTGCTGTGCAGTATTGTGCACACCTCTTTTTCTTTGTGTCTGTATGTGTGTAAGGGAGGGAGGAGTTTGTGTGTGTCAAACAAGTCAAAATATACTATAGAAAACTGCACTGTGGACATATAAGCATCTTTAATTTAATACTCTAATATTCCTATATACATAAAAGCTCTCTCTCTCTCTCTCTCAAGAGAGAGAGAGAGTGTGAGAGTGAGAGAGAGAGTGAGTGAGTGAGTATGTGTGTGTGTGTATCCAGGTCTCAACAACATGGGGGGAAGGAATCATATACTCATAGCTGTATAGCACTGACTTACCCTTTTACCATCTCTGGCAACCAATAGAGGAAAAAACTGTTCACTTTAGTCTAAATCTTGAACTCTTTCGTAGCAATGTAATATAACAAATACAAATTAAATTAGTGTATTTTGATATGCACTTGCTTAACAAAACCAACTTTAAGCTTTATCAGTTTTGATCAATGTTATACTGTATTGCTGCCTATAACTGAGAGCAAATAATATTTGACCCCTGATATACTGCCCTGCTTGACTGATTTTAATATTAAGAATTTAAGAAACCCAGAAACAACAACATGTACTCCTTTCTCTTTATAGTGATACTTCAAACAACTGAATAGGATAAGATGTAAAGTGCTCCGAGTATTTTGCTCTAAAGTGCTAAGATGGACTTGCAGAAATCTGGCTTTTTACAAATGAAAAAAGCTAACATACGATTGCAAACATAAGCAAAAGGTTTGAACAAAATATCATAACTTTAACTCACTTACTCAAGCTAAGACAGCAAAAACTGCATCAAAACTTAAATAATGGCTTGACTGTCATACCTTTGGGATGGCAAGTGGCTCTTTGTAACATCCTCATCATGCCCCAACGAAAGTTTCTCATCTAGAAGTGAGGCTGGTGTGGAGGGACTGGAACGGTTGTTCTCCATGGAACAATCACTAACTCTCTCAAAAGAATCATCACAGTCAAGAGATGATGTTTCCTTAATGACAGATGAGTCTTCATCTCTGTAAGGAAATTGAGTGGCATATTAGCCGTGGCAGATGTTCAATGTCCGAGTACTGTATCGTTTAGTTTCATTTCTATTGTCAGGCTCTATTGTGGGAAAAAATTGTTCTGTACTCGAACGGATCGGTATTCGATCCGCCTTCAGGAATCAATAAAGTTTTAGTACCGAGGTTCCACTGTATATTTATATATACGTATTCATGATTTGAGTGGCAAACTTACTCAATGTTGAGAGGTGTAAGAGCATTAGTGTGAGCTGCTGATGGAACAAACTGCATCATCTCCTGTATCTGCTCTACAGACACCTTAAGATAATCTGAAATCCAAGATTATGTTTTAAAATCCATGGTGTAGATGGTGTTATGATTTCTCTGCTAGTACAAACATCATAAAACTGTTCATTCAAAGCTTTACACATGTCCTACTCTGTCTCCGAGGGCCTGTTATCCACTCTTAGTCTCTGAATTTTGTCATTCGAATTCAATTTTATCAATAAAATTATAGAATAAGCTAGAGTCTATCTTACATTTATCTGCTATCACTTAATCAAATTACATTCCTCGTTCCCGTGTATATCTATGAAGTGGTTTCTGGCCTATTTATAGGTTTGATAGTTCCTGGTTTAGGTATTTTTCAATACATATTGGTTTCACCTTTTCTAAAATTTTAAAGTAAAAAATGATATGCATGTTGGTGGCTTTACAAGAATGTAATGCTCAAACTCCAATGCATGTGCTTTCACAACCTAAAGTGCCTTCTTGTATAGATATAAATAAATAAATAAGTAAAATAAATGCATTCATGATATATATTACTCATACTAATGGCATTCCCACAGGAACAATAGGGTGGACTTCTGACAAACTTCCAGCATCCTGTCCCTGTCAAGGCTGCTAGATATAGTGGCCCCTCAGGTAAATTCAGTTAAATTTAATCAACCATTTTCACTTCATTTAATCATTTTTCACTTACCACCCCACCTTGTAATGCACTTCATCCATCTGCAACTTTTATTTGATGAAAAATAGTAGTCCACATTAATATAGAACTTGAGCAACATAACTTACGGATTTACACAATATAAAACACTAGTGTTGTGCCTGACTTACCTGTAGGAAGAGGCCCAAGGCGCTTAGCAGCAATGAATAAAGTATTTGGGCACCAGAAGTGGGGCATTCTGGGATATAATTTGCCTGTATCAGATGGAAGATGAAATCCAAGTTCTCGAAGGAGCTGTAGAAAAGTTGGTGAGCTAAAGACCTCTTCCTGTTCTCCCGTCCATGGGATTATGGGAATGGACTGGTTTGAAACTGTAATTAAAAATATTTTCATTACAACTATCCAAACTGTCATATTATTTCAGAAAGCTCAAATTTATTCTGATTAATAAATTATATACTGAGAGTACAATTTATTTATTTATTATACAAGAAGATAAATTGGGTTGTGAGAGTACAGTACTGTACATAACATTGGTGTTATACATTTTGCTGTTTAATGAAAAAATACACAGTGGTCTATGTTCTTGACACACAATCTAGGAGCCCGGGTTCAGTCCTTGGGCAGGACAAAAATGGTTGGGCACATTTCCTTTCACCTAGTAGTAAATAACCTGGTAGTTAGACAACTGTTGTGGGTTGCATCCTAGGGAAGGTCAGTATTTAACCTAAGGCGACCTCAATCAGCCTAAATACAGGCTTCCTGTCCCTGAAAACAGGATAAGTGGATGGAGCACTGGAAACACTGGTGCATGCTTACATGAATGAAAAGGTTTCTTCAATTAATATGAACAGAAGAAATACGAAGAGAACTTACAGGCAAAGTTGAGGGCCACAGGTTCGGGTCTAGGCATGTCAGGACCCATGAACTTGATTTTTGCGTAACATGCTTCCAACAACTGCGTCTGTAACCACATTACTTGACTCCCATACCCTTCTTCTTTGAGTTTAGCTGTTAATAAAAGGCTTTGCAATATAATCCATGTACTGAAATATTATGACAAAGTTTTATTATTATAGTATAAATCATATCCTAAATATTTTCAGTTTATAATATATTTCAGAATACTGTACAGTAATCCTAATAATCAATGTTTTAGGATTAATTATATAATATTGTTACCCTATTAAATCATTTAATATTGTGAATGTTACCCTATTAAACTTATAATATTACAAACTACATCATCAAATTTGCAGATGACACTAAAATTTATTGTAAAGTTGGAAGTGAAAATGATATTGAGGCCTTCTTGGTTATCTTGAGATGATTTCGGGGATTAGCGTCCCCGTGGCCCAGTCCTCAACCAGGCCTTCTTTTTGTTATACACCCCCCAGGAAGCAGCCCGTAGCAGCTATTTAACTCCCAGGTACCCATTTACTGCTAGGTAACAGGAGCATTAGGGTGAAAGAAACTCTGCCCATTTGTTTTCGCCTCCACCGGGATCGAACCCGGAACCTCAGGACTACGAATCCGAAACGCTGTCCACTCAGTTGTCAGGTCCCACGAAGAGATCTACCATACATTAACTCCACAAATGATAAGAAGACTAGCAAATGTGTTTTAGTATTGAAAATGCAAGACCTTGCATGTGGGGCATAACAAGCTGTTATTCGAGTGTCAAACTTGATAGAAATACAAGAGGAAGAATTATGTTGCAAATACTGTATTTACCAGTAAGGAAGATGACTGTAGCATTGTCATCCCAGTCGGAGGTGTTCTCCATGTTCATCACATTCCCTTCCATGCTACCTGCAGCTTTGTCGCACACTGTTGCTGCCCACAATGCTGTACATAATTGGCATTTTTTTATGACAGTATATTTTAATAGAATTTAAAATCATATAACATTTTACATAAAGTAATGTAATACAGAACCATTAGTAACACAAGTTAGGCATGACAATATGTGTATGAAGCCTTAAAATGCTTTTGGCAGCTAACCTTGTCCATGGCCACAGAAATCCTTGTTCTCCAGAGTCACTGTTTCTCCTTGTTTTTGTAAATGATTCATATTGGATTCTGTATGTTTGTCATTGAGATTGCTTGGGTTCCTGCCTTTGTCTGGGTCTTTTTTCTTAAAGACTTTGAGAGTGTGGAGGTCATCCATGCAGTCTTCTAAATAGCTGCTCACCATCATTACATCATCCTCTAAATTCACATCTCCCACACATTTGTTCACAAGTGTTTCAACCTAAAAATAGAAAAGCAAAACTCTTAAGTTGAACGTAATGAAATAAACTTTTCTGGTTGGCTCTCAGTAAATTTTCCTAACTGAGAGCTGGTAGTGTCATGTGTGAGGAAGATACACCAGGTCTTTATAGATATAGTACCCCTGCCTATCATGAGCCATGGCCAAAATTGGGCCTTAGGGTGAGGGGAGAGACTGGGGGATCAGAGATCAAATAAAAACTGAGAAAATACCCAGCAAAAAGCACCATAACAACAAAACAAGCATCTATTTGAAGAAAATTAAGTATGCTGAGGTAAGAAGGTAAATCATTATTGCCATGGGATGTGGTAAATGTCACAAATGAGATGTGTCTGACCACCACCAGGTGGCAGTCTAGGTCACTCAGGGCTCTAACTAGCCAGTAATATAGTGGTGCCTCGATTAACGAGTTTAATTTGTTCTGGCACCGACCTCGTCATGTGGAAAACTCGTCTTGCGAAACAATAACAAAACTGTCGTTGGAGGTGTCCGAGAACCAGCAGGAACGATCGTTAATCGAGCGAAAGCTCATCAGTCAAGACATATTTTCTGCGAGCGGCTTGCTCGTAACTGGAGCCGCTCGTCATTCGAGGTTCCACTGAACACTGAAAAATACAGGAGTAACTTTCTGTGATTCAAAATCAGCTCTTCAAGCACTTGTAAACTCAGTATGCAGAATAGATAATATAAATGTTATAATATCGGTTATAAATAATATAATTGGTGCACAGAGCACGTTTCAGAATCTCTCTCTTGTAAAGATACAATCTCACAATTGGGAATTCTGGTTTTGAATCTCGAGTGGGACAGAAATGATTTGGCACATTTCTTACTACCTAATACCCCTGTTCACCTAGCAGTAAATAGGTACCCAGGAGTTAGTCATCTTGTTGTGGGGTTGCATCCTGGGGGAGATCAGTAATTCCAACTCTGGGGACCTCGATATGAGCCTAATATGCTACTTTTCATAGTACCCCTTATTTTGTTTGTTGGTGATTATGGCATCAAAATATAATGTATTATTTAAGATGATATGTTGAACTACCAGGTACCAATTTACTGCTACATAAACAGAGAAATCAGGTAAAAGGAAATTTTGCCCAAATGCATCTATCCTGCCATGAGAATCAAACCCAAGACCTTTTGGTAGTGACTCAACTGTGCTTACCACTGTGCCACATTATTTTGTTGGAAATTGCACGATGAACTGAACCTTATTCCCTCCAGAATCTGGAATTTCATATAACAAATACAAATTATAAAGAGATTTGCTTGGCAGATTTGGACTAATGTTAAGAAGAATTTGTTATGTAGAGGTCAAGATTTTTGAGGGTGCAGTGTACTATATATCTTTAGGCACTATTTTCACTAACTTAAGCACTATTTTGGTACCTTGGCATATATCAACTATAAAGTATTTTTCTTTTAACTATTTGACTTAACTGAAAGTATACAACTTACGGTAGGTATCTCTGCACACAGTTTAGAGCATTCACTCGTGGTAATGAAGCCTCGTGCCAGTAACTTTTGAATAACCTGTTGATAGAGTGTCATATATATTTAATAATTGCATTCAAATTTTATATACATTAAACATTCTGAATAGTAAACTGGTTTATCCTGAAATAACAGACTAATATTGTTGGTGGGAATTTAAGCTTTTCTCAAATGTGACCCACAACAGTCAACTAACAAATCAAGTACCTATTTCCTACTGGGTGAACAGAGACAGTGGGTAAAGGAGACTTACCCAGCTGTCTCACCTTGCTCAGGCATAGAATGAGATTCAGTCGAAACCCCCTTTTGCAGTGAGGAACAATGAGAATGTAATCCCTAACATACCTCTCCATTACATATACTGTATACCAATCTGATTGGTGTACAATATGTGAACCTATACACCAGTTGATTGATAGTTGAGAGGCGGGATCAAAGAGTCAAAGCTCAACCCCCACAAGCACAACTAAGTGAGTACATAGACAAAAGTCTTGAATTCACCACTTACATACAGCACATATACAAGAAAGGAACTAAAACAGGCATACTTTTAAAAAGTTATACTTCTGTATGATTACCATTATGCTCATCTCACACTATATTACCCTCACCTGATATTATCAGGTGGGGAGTTAGATTGGGGTGGTATATCTGTTAAATGATAACGCAGGTGTTCTAAGGCCAGCTCAGCATGATAGAAACCTCGCATAGAGCAAAATGGTATCTCAGCATGCAGGTTAACTGTCCGAAACCAACTCAAATCATAAAGCAGAAAAAAATCATCAATCACAACTATAATAAACTATAACTATTTGTGGTCCCTGACATGTTTAGTTTATAGATAAAGCTGGTGACACTATAAACATTTAGTATACAGTATTATAATTTTGCTGAAGATCTCTACCATAAGTCCAGAAACTCACGTGTGTCACCTTTAAGACAACCACACTCCATTGGATTTCAAAATCTTGAGCACAAAGAATTTTACTTCCTATATTTATAATCATAATCCATTATAAAAATGAGAATTATTAAAGCATTATTTACCAGTGATCTTGACATGAAATATTAATGAGGTACTGTACTGTACTGTAGTTCGTTTATGGAACATATTACTGTGTAATATACTAGATATGGGTTTGCTGGAGTCTTTCAGCCATTGGTTAGACATATAAAGGAGTGAGTTTGATTGGGTATAAATGAGAGCTGTCTTGTATGGGCCAATAACTATTCGATAATTTTGTTAATTCTACATTTTTGTATACAAATGTAGAAATTTTCAGTGATACATAAATTTATGGTGATGTGCAGGAATTTATAATGATACGCAGAAATTTACTGCATAATTACCATAATACAGATTTTAATGTTATCCCACATCTTAATTTAAGTCTATTAGTACTGGACATTTCTGAGTGCAATGTAAATCTAGTAAACCTTTGGTGCCTTACTTCTTTCTTAATAGGTTCTTCAATACAGTCATCACAGCATATTTCTTTGATCTTGTCCATGAGATCTTGTTCTGTAGTTGAGGCTGAATACAAATTATAGAGCTGGTCCAGGTCTTCATTCCTAGGATGAAGAAAAATTAATGCATATTATTAATCTTACACAAATTTAGGAAACATTTATCCAGTCATATAATCTCTTAAGGTTTAATGTCACTGAAATCTTAGCTGACTTTCACTTTTTATCCATTAACTTATAAGAAAAATGGTACACTATTAGTATTTGTATGTTTTAATTTTGTAGATAATTATCCAGTTTTCACTCTTTTTGTCACACATCTCCCTCGTACTGCTTCTAATCTGAATATTCTTAAATTGTCATCTCCGTTCTTACTACATGCAAAATGAAAATAACCCAGAACTAAATCTGCTATCTCATATCTACAATAATCAGCACATTGATCATGACTACTAAAGTTATTACACGGTAAACCATGCAAAAAACTAACTCCAAAATATCACTAGTCTATCAGTATTCAACCAAAATGTCAGATCACTTAATAAACATTTTGATGATATAAATGCAGTAGTAGAAGCACTAGGTACTAAACTCTCATTCATTATCTGGACAAAATCATGGCTAGGTAAGGACCAGTTAAGTTGTATAATTGAATATGGATAGCCATTCATAACTGCAGGCCAGACAATAAAGAGGTGGTACAGCTATCAATTATCAAGATAACTTCGCTTGCACTAGTGACATCAGCGATAGAGGTTACTACTGTGAATATACCTTTGCTCAATTCTTGATCAAATACCTTGAATCCCCTATAACTATTGGAGCTGTTTATAGATTTCGCAATACTAATACAACTGTTAACACTAGAAGCAGTGATCATGAGAATTCATCACTAGCCATGGGCTTCCTGTACCAACCATGGCCACTAGAAACAGTGGTTGCATGGTAATTAACTGAATTTACCTGAGGGCCACTAATACTAGTGGCCTCGACGAGGGGAAGCTGACAGCTTCCTTATCTGTAAATAATGTCCTTCTGTACTGTAAATAACATTCTTCTGTACTGTAAATAATGTTATTTACATTAAATAATTACTGTACTGAAAATAATTCCTTGGTGAGGAAAATTAAAATCAAATAATGCTTACGTTAACTCAATCCCTGCATGGTGAAGGACTGGTTTCTGCATGTCCTTCTTTTCCTTTTTTTTGGGGTGTTCCATGCGCACTCGCGTGCACTTACGCAGGACATATTCAATAAGATCGGCCCAATCCTAAGGAATTAAATCACTAATTAGTTTAGAAGCATTCATAAAACCATAGAACATAAGAGTTAGTGTTTAAATGTATTTCAATTCATTATAGCTGTATGTTACCCAACCAGTTTGAAAGACAGACTAAGACATATCTATTTAATATCATGTAACAAATTTCACTTCCATTTTCTCGTCAAACAAGACATTTTTGTGTTGTGCTGCTATTGTTAATTTTGTATTCTAAAAATGTTTTTGTATGCCTCTCATCAATAAGTGTCATCTAATTATTGTATATAATTTGCTAAATTGCCTGTTCAAGTCATATAAGTTAATTTATTTCTTGTTTATTGATAAGTGTTTATCCCAATTAAACCTTTCAATTTGACTGATTTATTGTATATTATGTCCAAAATGCTTAGCATTCTAGTGGCTTTACTAAAGTGCACCTTTGTATATTTGCTATTATTAATACTGTAATATTATGCCCTCCCTAAAGCTTTATATCATTTGCTAAATTTCTGAACAATTTATATATATATATATTACAGCTACTTCTTGTTTAGTATTAAGTGTCTTACCTCATTTAACCTTTAAACCTCTGTAAACAACTTAACTGTTTTATCTTATGCCCAAAACACACTGCATACTAGTGGCTTTATGCATTGTACTTATCTTACTTATGTATCTTCCTCTGTTCATATATCATATGTAAATACACTTGTATATATAAATTATCATTGTTATTATTATTATTATATTATTATTATTATATTAAAGTAATATTCATAAAGAATTTACAATAAAAGACCATATTAACCCATACACATCAAAACTAAAACCTAGATATCCCAATACAGTACATCCATATGAAGATGAGGAGTCACAATAATGTGGCTGAAATATGTTGACCAAACTACACACTAGAAAGTGAAGGGACGACGACGTTTAGGTCCGTCCTGGACCATTCTCAAGTCGATTGTGACTTGAGATTATCCATATGAAATTAAATGAAATTGACAACATTGTACTCTATCATGGATCCTTATCAAGTTTTCCTCTTATGACTTGATAATGGTCAGGACAAACTGAAACATCATCCCTTTCATTTAGTTTTAAATGTGTTTGCTAAGTTAAATTTTTTCAGTCATGTTATTGTGACTTGTATAAGGCCTAGATTTGACTTAAACTGAAAGGTATACTTACCACACACAATTCACATCCTTCCTGCCAAATGCGCAAGAATACTCTCAGAATGGCTGGCTGAAGCATAACATTCACATTCCTTAAATCCCCAGCAATATGGTGCATCATTGTGAATATGCAATCATTCACAGTTTCATCATTTATGTTAAAGTTCTCAAGAAGGCGCCCATATTGACGCATCATGTCCATGGTGGCAAATCTGTTTTTGTAATAACAACATTAATAATAAATAACAATAATAAATTATTATTATTATTATTATTCATGTCATGGCTCGATTGTCTGGGGCGTGTGCGTGGGACTACCCACCGCATAGGTTCAAATCCTTATCGCACCTCTTACAGATTTTATTATTATTATTATTATTATTATTATTATTATTATTATACAGTAATGATAATAATAATGTAATCATAATACTAATACTAATGAAATCATAATCATAATGATACTACTACTACTAGTAATAATAATAATAATAATGCTGTAATTATAATAATAATAGTAATGTTAAGCAAAACATGTACAATGGTTATACAGATGACCATATGCTTTCCAGACATCTTAGGACAGAGATTGAATGAATAACCTGTTGTGTACAGGTAAGTGGTATGTCATCCTAAAAATCTAGGGAAAAATTTTCTAGTACAGTATTTTGAACGTACTAATATGAGAAGTTCTGATCCACTTATGAAGCTAAAGATTGCTGATTGTGAATAGCTGTTTAGATGGGAGAGGTGATGGGTGTTAATGGTGTACTGTACTTTGACAGCAAGTAATAATACCCCTCTTCACCTTCACATAGTAAAATACATCCAGCATTGAATGTAATGAAATGCATGTTGACCAAACCACACACTAGAAAGTGAAGGGACGATGACATTTCGGTCCGCCCTGGAGCATTCTCAAGTCGATTGTCTTACAATCGACTTGAGAATGGTCCAGGATGGACTGAAACGTCGTCGTCCCTTCACTTTCTAGTGTGTGGTTTGGTCAACATATTTCAGCCACTTTATTGTGACTCCTCGTCTGCTAATGAAATGTATCTTTCTGGCGGACACCTTGGTGGCTCTCTCAAGTCAGCCACCTGAATAGGGTCCCTTGGTGGCTCCCCAGTGCTATTCAGGAAGCTAACTCTAGGAAGCCACCGAGAAGCACCTCTCAGTAAAAATATTAGATTAATACATACTGTCTGATATGATTGAGAATGTCAAAGGTTTGCTTAGAAGAAAGACTTAGGCTGCTGACTTCCTGAGTGGTTAGGAATAGATGATTTGTAGTGATCAAGTCCTGCAGGTAGTTGAGACTTAGCACTCCTGGTCGGTACATACGGATCAACAACACAAACAGTTGCCGAACCTCCACTAACTGTCCAAGTTCCTCTGTCAATGAGATTATATTGTATTAAGCTAAATGCTAAACAATTTAACAAAGAATGCTAAAAATAGGATTATATATACATGTATATACATACAACAAAGCTCACTAAACAGCTGATCTGTTAAAGCAGAATAACACATTAAAAATGAAATAATTGTTCGGCCGACCGGAGGGAGCCGGTCGGCCGAGCGGACAGCACACTGGACTTGTGATCCTGTGGTCCCGGGTTTAATCCCGGGCGCCGGCGAGAAACAATGGGCAGAGTTTCTTTCACCCTATGCCCCTGTTACCTAGCAGTAAATAGGTACCTGGGAGTTAGTCAGCTGTCATGGGCTGCTTCCTGGGGGTGGAGGCCTGGTCGAGGACCGGGTCGCGGGGACACCAAAGCCCCGAAAGCATTTCAAGAAGATGGCCCTATAGTTTCAGCTCTGCCCTTTAGATCACTTTGTCATATAGAAGACATACTAATTTCATAAGAATATTCCCAATGCTGTAGTAGGTGGTACACACCTTTAATATGCATGAGATGTCCAACATCAAGCAGACTTTGGTCTTTCTTCATACAGACATCAAATGCAATGAAGAATTCCCTGAGAGCAGTAACAACAAGGTGAAGGCGGCGCACGTGGGGAAGCAGATTCTCCTGATCATCACGCACTGCACGCTCAAGGTCCTCCTGCATCACTACACCCTCGTATACCAAGTATGACACAACCTGAAAAAATGTCAAATTACATTATCAACCTTTACACTGTTCAAGTATTTATATAAAGAAAATAATAAATGGAAATACTGTAAATGGTATATGATATATTTTTTTTATTTATATACAGTATATGTACAGTACAAGAGGTCTTACATTCTTGTACATCCACTAGCACACACAATATTTTAGGTAAGTCCTTAATCCTAATTTTCACACACACACATCCCCAGGAAGCAACCAATGATGAAATGCAGATGAAACCTGTGATGAAATGTTCACCTATTTACTGCTAGGTGAACAGGAGCATCAGGGTGAAAGAAACTATGCCCATTTGTTTCTGTTTCCACCAGGGATCAAACTCGGACCCTTAGGACTATGAACCCCGAGTGCTGTCCACTCAGCCGTCAGGCCACATGGTATAGTATACCACTGCCAGGGACAGGAAGTTTATTAAGCTTATCGAGGTGTCCCTAGGCCACCTACTGACCTCTCCGGGGATGTCCCCCACAACAGTTCCCTCCACACAAGATATGAGAACTATGACCTTGTGGTGATATTTAAGATATTCAACAAATTTGATAATGCAATCTTCCACCACCTGAAGATATATAAAGCAGGACACTTCCAAAAGTAACACTTTAAAGCTTGCTAACAGTCACAATTAAAAAAAGATAGCAATGTTCTTCATTAACCAAATAGTAATAACCCAACAAAATTACCCACAAACGGCTGAAGCTAGGACAATGCTGCAGTTCAAAATGCACTTTAATGCACCTAAAAAGTTCAATTGGAGGATTCTGAACAAAACCCTTGTCCGCCATTGTTTTCCTGTCCTCCACATGGCTATTGGAGACAGCGGCCATTAGGTAACTTCAGTAAAATATAATTTTTACTCTAAGCTTCTATGAAGACATGAAAATACCTTCAATACTTAAGAGTGTATGTACATTACAACCCATCCTCCTGTTTAGATAGTACCTATTGTGATGATTGTCAATAGTCAGAATTTGTACATTCTTAGCTTATAGATATTAGTATACTGACTAGTAAGGAATTCTTTTAAAATAAATGAAGCTAAAACAAAAACTTAAATATTCCTAGGCCTAGTATAACGCGCACATACACACACACACACATTATATATGACAATGTCAGACCACGGAGGAAAAATGAAACAGGAAATTTCCTTAAGTACTTTCGTATATTAAATACATCTTCAGAAGGTTATTTTACAGATCGAGTGATGGGTATAAATAGGCAGGAAGGAGTGGTGAAGTAAGGTGAGGTACAATACTTGGACATTATATATATATATATATATATATATATATATATATATATATATATATATATATATATATATGTATATGTATATGTATATATATATATATATATATATATATATATATATATATATATATATATATATATATATATATATATAACAATTAGGTGAACAAATCACCTAATTGTGTAGTGTAGTGTAGTGTGTTGTGTATTAGGCCTTGGGAGGTTAGGATAGGTTAGTTTGTCAAAGCAACACAAGTAAAAAATAGTTTTCCAGTTTGTCCAACTCAATAGTTCAGATTTCTACTTTTTAATTTCTTTGTATGTCGGTATATATACTATGGTCCTCATCGTTACAATAAGTACTACCAAAATAGGAAGATGGGCTGGTAGATTAATACTTACATCGATAGATAGGACAGGACATATCTGAGATAATTCCAAGTCCAACTCAACAGCAAAGCGAAGAAAGTATGTGATGAGCCATAACACATGAGACTTGTCAAGATCAATCTGACATGGAAGCATTACTTGGAGTCTGAGGCCCTGTAGCAAGTTCGAATATCCATTCAGCACAAAATCAACTGTAAATTCCTTCAGTAAGTTGGATATGTCTTCTGCTGTAGGATGATGATGCAAGAGTGCTTTGGCTTTAATCCTCTTACTCTCCTTACGCTTTATTAATTTACTTCTTTTGAAGTTCCTCTCTTGTAGGGCTTTTTGCAGCATTTTGGCTGGCCTAGGTTTACTCAGCATTTTATGAGGCTTGTGATGGTGTGGTCTTTTTGCATGGGGACCCTCATCACACTCTGACCCTGTTGAATTACTTGACTCTATATTCTCCTGAGTGTTTGAGAGCATCTTTTGAGACATGGTATGTCTTGATCGCTTTTGACCCAAAATAGGTTTATTTTTATGAAGTTTTGGCAATTGTGGTGGAGGCTTCTTTTCACTCCAGTCCCCACTTGACCCTGATTCTTCTTCATTTGGTGGCCTTTTAAATATTTCCTGCGAGAGGCATGTCGGTTGCTGCCCTGATTCTTCCATTGGGGTTAATACGTCATTCATAACACAACACTGGAAGGAGAAGGGCTCATCATCATTGTCATTTATTAACAATGAACCAACAGTATTTAAACTATCATCCAGAGTATTGTGTATGAATTGTAAAGGAGAAGACTCTTCAGTTTCATTATCAAGCAGAAGGATAGGAGATATCTTCTCCAACACTACCAGAGAACTGCTCCCGAGCTCACGTCCATCATCACATGCGCTTTGGCCACCCACATGCTTCACACTGCCCCTGCCTTTACATTCCTTTATGGTTTGTGTATCAAGCAAAATTTTTTTATGATTTTCCATTTCCAAACAAGTTTTTATTTCATATATTTTTCCATCCTGAGAATCCTTTAAAGTTTGAACTGAATCTTCAAATGAAATCTGATGCACAGTGTCCTCAGCACACCACAGCTTTCTTTCTGTACTATTTTTTGACTGTTTATTTTTGGATCTGTAAGTTTGGTTGATATATAGTGACGGCCATTCATCAGGGGACGAATCCACATTTGACCCCGAGCGGCCAAACCCACTATCCTTACTACTATTATCCTTGTCCACATTTCCTGTTCCTGCTGAGGTGTCTGAGTTTTCATTTATTTCAGTTGTCTTATCATGAATTTTATTGGCTTTGCCAATACCATCCATTGGTGACAGTCTCTCAGATGAATCAGAAACTGGGTCTGATGTAGAGATATCATCCTGCAAGGAAATTTCTTTAAATATCATGAATTTACATTAGCAAAAATCTCATCTAGTAACATTGTCAGGCTTAGAAAAATATTATCTAAAATACTGTACCTTGAATTAATATCAAAAGAAAAATACTATACTAAAATAGGAAAATTATGAAATATACTGTATCAACTTCACATTTCTATTTAGGCCTACTCTTTAATAAAAGATTCATCTGAAGTTATATAAACAGCTAATTGAAATGCATTGAACATGAGAGTTTTTCAAAGATTTGCATTTGTACTCACTGAGGAAGATGAAGACATCGGGTTATTTTCATCATCTTCAGAACTCTCGGAGAGGGACGATGTGAGCCATTCATTAATTAGATTGCGTATAGTTCCCTGTTGTTGTTCTCGATACATCAGGGACATCAACTGAACCATGGTGACGTTAAACAGGTGCTGCAAACACAAGATAATTACGCATTAAATACAATATCAATAAAACAGCTCATTGAGAGGTAGTATAATACAGTACTGTATTGCACACAAGGATGTTCATGGGTTCTGTTACATAATTTTTTTTTTAAGTCTTAGTACTGTATAGGGTATGGTCAAATTATATACAAGATGGTTTGCCAAAGCTTCTTTTCTTTGTACAATAATAAGAATAAGAATATTTGCACAAATGTACAAACAAATGAAACATGAACAGGGAAAGATACATAGCTAAGACAAGCACATTGCAAAAAACTTCTAATACACAGTAAGCATTTTGAGCATAACTTAAGATAAAAATGGCTTGAAGGTTTGATGAGGTAGACACAATACTAAGACAGTATTATATAAATGTTACTCTCACCTGCTGGTTGCATGTCAATAGTCGTATCAAAATGTTGTCAAAACGTTGAGCAAATAAGTTCCACAATATCTGGTCTTCCATCAGAATAGCTGAAACAGGTCCTCCCTGAAAGAAACATTAGTTTATCAATATGCAGTTTTGGATGATAATTTTAATTCATTTTATCAGGTCTCCTTATTGATGGTCTGATCAACCAGGCTATTAGATGCAGCTGCTCACAGTCTGATGGTAGTATATACCCACACTTGTTGGGCATATTTTGACAGTTTTTCTTTCCATTTTCTAGGGGCCTCAATGGAGACAGGAAGCTTTGAGGGCCAATACTGTATCTCTAGTGGCCTTGATAGGTACAGGAAGCTCTGAGGGCCAATATTTCTCTAGTGGCCTCGAATAGGTACCGAAAGCCTTGAGGGACAATATCTCTCTAGTGGTCTCGAATAGGTACTGAAAGCCCTGAGGGCCAATATCTCACTAGTGACCTCAATTGGGGCCAGGAAACCCTTAGGGCCAATATCTCTAGTGACCTTGACATGGACAGGAAGCCAGCAGAAGCCTATTCTTTAATTTAGATTTTGATGAAGCACTCTAGGGGTGATACACAAAACATTATTTCTCAGTACAGTATTATCTCTTGAGTATATTATATGAATCTGAAAATTTTTATAGTCTCTTAGACTTTCTATTTCCCTGTGTATATTATTCATAAAGGTTTGTGTATTTCATTCACATATGGTACTGTTCATAAATTTTCCGGTTTTTCATTCATATATATAGTATTGTTCATGAAGTTTCCTGAATTTCATTCAAGTATGAATCTGTTTGTAATACTCCCTAAAGATTTCCTTGAAAACTCTCCATGAAACCTGTTATTCCTTTTGAACCTATCAATAGCCTAGTTGGCACAGTATACAGGATGAATGCCAATTTCACACCAAATCAATGTCATCAATGATGACTCAGCTTTGAATTAACACTAATAACATTAATTCAGTGAAGGTGAAGGAAAGACCCAATATATGGGTAAGTGTATTAATACACTTACCCATATTAATACAAAAGTGTATTAATACACTTACCCAATATTGGGTCTTTGCTTCACCTTCATTCAAGTACTATGTCATTGTAGTACGTTTCTCCATTAATTCAGTGTCAAACCAATGCCAGTCTTAGATATTGTCCCCATTGAGAAGATGTTGTACAACCTCTTCTTCAGAATTGTGAAATTTAAAAGTGATCTGCATATTTACCATGAGGAATTTACCTTCTTCATCTGGACAGTATCATGGGTCAGTATTTGTGTACCTGCGGCTTAGCTGCAGCTGCTGGAGGTGAACTGTAGCTCATCGTATGGTGAGCACTCGGGATATTACTGACATGCAGCAAGTTCCTCACTAACAGCAGGCAATGGTTAATCAGCTCACACTCAGATAGGCTCAACATTTTTGAATCCTAGAAAAAAGAGAAGGTTCATTTATGTAAATTTGTGGATGAAGCTAAAAATCCTCTATGCCACCCCAACCAATAATCCTGATGCCTCTCCAACATCTTGCATTTTGTTGTAGAGTTAATAAATTTGTTTATATGTGTACAAGGTGCTAAATAACCTTCCTGGTTTGGTGCCTTCTTTTGATAATTATTTACTTACTTATATGTGTACAAAGTAGTATGGCCTCCAATACCCTCTCATATAATGCCAAGATATTGCTTCAGTTCAAAATCCAGATAAAAAAATCCCTTGTGGATTAATAATAATAATAATAATAATAATAATAATAATAATAATAATAATAATAATTTTTATTTATATACAGTTCAGTTGCAACATGATACAGTGGTATACAATGTAATTTATATATAGCTACACAATGTAATTTATATAAAGCCACTAATAGATTAAGAGCCACTATTGTTAGATTAAGGACCTGCCCGGAATGCTATGTATGTTAATGGCTTTGCAAGAATATACACAGACATTATCAAACTTATGTAATCTCATCAACTCATTGTATCTTCTTCTGAATAAATTATTATTATTATTATTATTATTATTATTATTATTATTATTATTATTATTATACACAGAATTTTGAGGATAACTAAACATAAATAAGTACTGTAATTTATTTGTAAGTTTAATGGGGTAACATTTAATACAAAAAGAGAAGTAAGCTAACCTATTTGAATTGCTAAAGAAATTTATCAAATGATTTAACAAAATTTAGCAATTTTTAATGATGAAAAGCATAAACCACTTAACAGCTTTGGACAGTTACAGCGCAAAACAATTCTAATTGACTGATATTAACTGTGGTAATAACCAAGGTAATTGAAGAACTTACCTGAAGAACTGAACTCATGACATCAATTATAGATTTGGTTACTTGAGTATCAAGGAACAGTTTCTTGGCCATTACAATGGAAGACTCCAATTCATAGATAATAAGGTGACCTTCATTACTGCAACTCTTTATCTCAGATGGCATCAAGCACTCCACTGGCGTCATGAGTTCCTGTAGTACTCTGTGGGTCATAAGACAATATATTAATACAGTATCATCAAATGTTCAGTTGATGTCATTAACAAGTACAGTTAATCATACAGCATTGAGGAAGAAAGAGCAACAGTTAAACTACCATGATGCACACAGGATGTCATCAATGCTTGCAGAACATTAAAGACAAGAAAACCCTATCATCACTATACTATGTCTCATGAAGCACTTAATCATCAGGTATACCAGGTCCCAGTAGTTATATCAAAATCCACATAACTTTTGTGAAACATTTGGCAGATGTCATCGCTGTAACGTATAAGATTCTGGGAGGAAATAAAGAATGCCCATATACTATGACATCAATTGCTCTGCAAGTGTCACCAATGAATGTATCTCTCTCTCTCTCTCTCTCTCTCTCTCTCTCTCTCTCTCTCTCTCTCTCTCTCTCTCTCTCTCTTTGTCTGTCTCTCTGTCTCTCTCTCTCTCGTAAATAACTCCAGTGCTCAGTTATACCAAATATTCAAACACTGTATACAGAGTAATGCCAGAATATATATATATATATATATATATATATATATATATATATATATATATATATATATATATATATATATATATATATATATATATATATATGTCGTACCTAGTAGCCAGAACGCACTTATCAGCCTACTATTCATGGCCCAATTTGCCTAATAAGCCAAGTTTTCATGAATTAATTGTTTTTCGACTACCTAACCTACCTAACCTAACCTAACCTAACTTTTTTGGCTACCTAACCTAACCTTACCTATAAAGATAGGTTAGGTTAGGTTAGGTAGGGTTGGTTAGGTTCGGTCATATATCTACGTTAATTTTAACTCCAATAAAAAATAAATGACCTCATACATAATGAAATGGGTAGCTTCATCATTTCATAAGAAAAAAATTTGAGAAAATATATTAATTCAGGAAAACTTGGCTTATTAGGCAAATCGGGCCTTGAATAGTAGGCTGAGAAGTGCGTTCTGGCTACTAGGTACGACATATATATATATATTATATTCTTTGGAATATATTCAGTGGAAAATACAATCACAAATACAAATTCTAAATTTGCAATTTTTACTAAGTCTCTGATAGTTTTTCGTACAAAGAAATAAAAATCATTCTGAATTTATCTGAGGGCCACTAACACTTGTGGCTTCAACGAGGATTAACATTCTTGTTAGAATAATATACTGAATAAAAATGCATGAGTGTACAAGCAACAACATTGTAAGGAAGGGATCCTTTTTGGCAAGAATATGGGTAATAGTGTTGGTAACTGGCAATAAACAGTTGAAACTGTTGGGTTGGAAGGGGAAAATCATTTGAAATTCCCGCCAGTGTAGTGGAGCTAGTTCTGCACATGCGCAGTGCATTGTCACAGCGTGAGAAATGTTCCCCTCTAAAATAATATAAACATTAAATCAATGAAGGCAAATACATTGTCTAGTTTACATTTGGTGGCTGGAAATGTTAAACGTAGGAAATTAGTTTGGAACTCGATGAAAAAAAAAATAAGTGTTGGGGATATCATTTGAAATGATATCCCGGGTATGCCTTAGCTGTGTCTCATGGTAAAATTTAATGATTGAGTAACCTAGTTACTCTTAAGTGAGAATAAATGTGTCTAATCATTTGTGTTCCTGCCCGGAATCGAACCAGTGATCCACGCTAGATAAGGAATGTAGCCAACTGAATTGCAAGACCCTTTGGTCCAGAAGTAAGTTTAATTAGCATTTATAAGCATGGGTCTAATTGGCTTTCAAATAAAGTTAATAGGTTGGGTTTAATTAGGACTGTGTGAACATAATGTAGGAAGTAATTACCTTGGCAATGATGTTGTTAAGAAAGAGTGAACGACGGTAGTGCCATCGTTCCTTGTCCTGGTGTAGGCGTTCAAGCACTTCATCTATTCTGCCTGTTGGAAAAGAATAATAATAAGTAATGGTAATGTCTTCTCTCACACATAATAACATAAGATAAAAACCCTCACTTGTGTATTTGTGAAATTGATGTAAGGAATTTACACCAAGTCTTTCACACTCTCCTGAGTGTGTGGTTAGGATCAGACTTACATCGCAACGCCTAACGAGGCTGTTATCCGTCGTTGTTGCTGTTGTTTAAGATTGAGCTACTGGGAACTAAAAGTTGCAAGTAGCACGGGCTATGGCGAGCCCGTGCTGCTCACCTGACACAGGTCATGTGCCGTCACTGCTGCTGATGTATCTGCGGTGATGTCTTCTGTGGAATTATGGTCCTGAATTACTATCAAGGCCGGTAGAGATGGTACCCCTCAGGTAATCTTAGGTAGAGATGAAGATACTGAAGATGGTCATGTTGAAGATATGGGGACGATAAGGGGAGAGGGGGGGGGGCAGGAAGATGAGTGGACAAGATAGATATATGGATGGACTGATAAATGAATAGATAGATATAGATGGATAGATGGAAGGCAGACACACGCGGCCAATCCTGGGCATCCCCCCCCCCCTAGTCTATGCGAGTGTCTGACCATAGTTGGATGGTAGAAGCCCCCCCCCCCCTAGGTTAGGTAAGGCAGCGTTGGGTTGAGAAAGGTCTGGTTAGGTTAGGTTAGGGAAGGTCTAGTGAGTTTAGTTAAAGTTGTGTCAGATCCGTTAGTGGAAAAGTGTCGTATAGCAAGTGCCTTGTACCGTATCGTCCCCCATGTGACGAGACCGGCCAGCAGAGACCCGAGGGAGCGTACCTGGAGGTCAATATACACCAAGGTTATCACAAAGCTTGAGAAACGTGACAATGGCGGGGTGTGTGAGCGGGCACCCGACACCCCCTACCCGGCCAGCGGTCACGGGCACGTAGAAATATGAGTTATGTACCTTGAACTTGGTAAGTTATAAGTGACGAGTTATTGACTTGGACTTAACACTTGGAGCCCTTCACAGGGAGGCCAGACAATGTTCATGATCCCCACACACAGGGAGGTGACGTAGTGTACCAGACAGGAGGAGGAGGAGGGGAGGACGGAAGATGACCAGTTAGATAAACAATATGGTCATCACCAACGGCATGACGTCAATGGTGCGGTGAAACACCATCCCCATCCCCTCCTCTCTCTCTCTCTCTCTCTCTCTCTCTCTCTCTCTCTCTCTCTCTCTCTCTCTCTCTCTCTCTCTCTCTCTCTCTCTCTCTCTCTCTCTCTCTCTCTCTCTCTCTCTCTCTCTCTCTCTCTCTCTCTCTCTCTCTCTCTCTCTCTCTCTCTCTCTCTCTCTCTCTCTCTCTCTCTCTCTCTCTCTCTCTCTCTCTCTCTCTCTCTCTCTCTCTCTCTCTCTCTCTCTCTCTCTCTCTCTCTCTCTCTCTCTCTCTCTCTCTCTTCTCTCTCTCTCTCTCTCTCTCTCTCTCTCTCCCGCTAGCTACTTTCACTGCCTGGCTAACTACTTTCCCTTATTCTCTAATCACTTTCCCTGCTTCCCTAACCACTTTGACCGCCTCAGTTTGAGTGTGGTCCAAGCACTTACACTTGACAGGCTCTTGACACCAATCACCTTGCAGGAAGATAACATTAGCAGTATGGGTCCTGTACTCCCACACACACACTATGTACTTCCTTCCTTTAAAAGGTGATACATGAAATAGGATCAGCCCTGACGGATGAGGATAAATAATACTGAACACCGTACAGATTTAAAGTTGTACAGTTACTGAAACATGAAGCGTCACCACCGTAGACTAATGGCATAATGCGTCCCATTTTTAGCCTTTACGTCTTTCAGCTATTGTCAATTTGCTCCTATTACTGTTTATGTTTCAACGTGATGTCATCTTTGGTCACTGTCTCTCTCTCACTCATACTCACTCTCTCTCGTCGTATTACACTGTTTCACTGTCTCATTATTTCCATGTCTCACAGCTTCACTGTCGCACACAGTCACTCTCTCATGCTGTGTCACACTAACCCTTTCACACTCACCCTCTCCCTGGTTCACACTCACTCCCTCACACATGCTTTCACTCTCACACTCACCGCCTCAGGTGGGGTCCGCCATCTTAAGGAGATGGAAGGGCAGATTGTTCTGGGACGTATCGAAGATCTGGCCCACTTGCCTATACTTAGATGACCCATGACGTCAGAGAGAGAGAGAGAGAGAGAGAGAGAGAGAGAGAGAGAGAGAGAGAGAGAGAGAGAGAGAGAGAGAGAGAGAGAGAGAGAGAGCGAGAGAGAGAGAGAGAGAGAGAGAGAGAGAGAGAGAGAGAGAGAGAGAGAGAGAGAGAGAGAGAGAGAGAGAGAGAGAGAGAGAGAGAGAGAGAGAGAGAGAGAGAGAGAGAGCGAGAGAGCGAGAGCGAGAGCGAGAGAGAGAGAGAGAGAGAGAGAGAAAGAGAAAGAGAGAAAGAGAGAGAGAGAGAGAGAGAGAGAGAGAGAAGTGTGGAGAGTGGGGGGTACATATACAGGTAGAGATAACGGAGAGGGGAGGAGATAAAGAGATGGGATGATAGGAGACGAGAGACGAGACTAGGGGAAGGCTTGGAGATTTGACTTAGAAGACACCACACACCATCACCACACTCCATCACCACACACCATCACCACACACCATCACCACACACCATCACCACACACCCTGGTGGTTGGAAAACTGATAAACCAGTACAACTATTGCACTTGGAAGGGATATGAGCACCAGGAGCTGAATATGAGGACCAGGAGCTGGAGTATGACAAGGAGCTGTCCCCGACCAAACGAATCAATAATAATTATGGCATTAATATTATACAATAATATTATATCATCATTATTATTATTAGGGAGAATAGTATAGTGTGTGGGCGTGGCGGCTATAAGTGAGGGCGAGTGGTCGTTATCACAGGCACCTGTGAGGGGGGGGGGACAGGACCCTTCTGCAGGTGGCAGGTGGCACCTGGTTGTGGCCTCCAGGTGGCACCGTGCCACCTGGATGGCCATTATCCCTCTAGTGGCCTCCAGATGGACAACAAGCTCACAGCTTCTCATAAGTCCCTCATTTTTCCTGGGATTTTTTTCTTCTAAATGGATTTTGAACAAGTAAAGATTTGGTATTTACGGCTTCGGCAGGTAGGTGGTTCCATGGGTTTGTGGGGGTGAAAAAGCATATGATTTATGTCCTATAGTGTGGTGTGTTGAGCTTGAAATTGTTGCTCCTTGTTTGTGTTACACCAGACGCTTTAAATAGGTTGTCTGGATTAATATCACCCAAATTGTTCAAAATTTTATAGGTGTGGATGAGATAGGCTTCAACATATCACCGTCACGCCAAGATTTAAGAAAAGTGTGACCTACGTCAGCATACTCTTTACACTAACTTAACCCAACCTAACCTAACTGAATTGAACCCACCAAAAATCAAAGATAAAATGTTGTGTATTTTAGTGTGCAGGCCGCGTGACGTCACAGTTTTAATGCCTGCACGGGGTTTTGGAGCCTATTGGAGTTGTGGACATTAGCAGTTGTTATTCTCAACAAATTACAGCCCGTGCTCATCAACAAAGATCAAATGATATTTAATCCAGCTGCAAAACCCTTGATTATGAATGAACGAGGGCTTACACACGACTCTCAACTGTTGATTAGTGCATCTTCTCCAGCCTCTCCTCTCTCCTCCTACACCCTCTCTTCTTGACCTATAAAGGGCAAGAAGAGTGCGTACCCAACATACAGGGCAACATAAATGGTACCCAACATACAAGACATGAATGGGTACCCAACATACAGGACAACATGAGTGGGTACTCACCATGACAATTAGGAGTCAGCAAGTACTTGTTCTCGCCAACATAGGCTCCAAGCTGTATTGTAGGCGTAAAGAAGTGGTCCATACTCATCATCAACCACTCCATGCTGCGCTGTAGGAGAGAAGTCTACATGTGACACATCTTACAACTCCGACAATAAACATTTGTATAACAAAAATGGAGATTTTCAGATCAACAGATGTGAAGCGAAGCCTAGTGAGGACTAAACTAAATTGTTGTTGAGGAGCTTTGAGGCTCCTGGCGTAGAAGCCTCGTGTGATGGTAAGATAACATGTGTGCCGGTGACGCATATGACGCTGGCCGGCTGGTAACGCGCATGACGCTGGCCGGCTGGTGACGCGCATGACGCTGGCCGGCCGGTGACGCACATGACGCTGGCCGGTCAGTGGCGCACATGACGCTGGCCGGTCAGTGACGCACATGACGCTGGCCGGTCAGTGACGCACATGACGCTGGTCGGTCAGTGACGCACATGACGCTGGCCGGCTGGTGACGCGCATGACGCTGGCCGGCCGGTGACGCACATGACGCTGGCCGGTCAGTGACGCACATGACGCTGGCCGGTCAGTGACGCACATGACGCTGGCCGGTCAGTGACGCACATGACGCTGGCCGGTCAGTGGCGCACATGACGCTGGCCGGTCAGTGACGCACATGACGCTGGCCGGTCAGTGGCGCACATGACGCTGGTCGGTCAGTGACGCACATGACGCTGGCCGGTCAGTGACGCACATGACGCTGGCCGGCTGGTGACGCACATGACACTGGCCGGCCGGTGACGTACGTGATGTACCACTCTCTCATGCCCCTCTCTCACCCTCTCATATTTACAGCCACCGGATAATCTATGTAGTGTACCAAATTAAATTGTTTGAATGTGTGATAATGGTACGATAGAAAGAATATTTATGAGTGTAACACTTACGTAGTGTTTACTATATTAACCTGTGATTTTTGTACTGTGATTTGTTGATTTATACTGACTGGAGTTGGGCGCCTGTTGAGAGACTTGAAGTAGAGGAGGGTAGAAATACCTGAAGCCTCTTTATCCCTTTGAGATGTATTTTATTTTCTCGATAAACGTACTTGAACTTTGAGGTGGTACCGAGGGTCACAGGTAAGAACAGAAAAAATACATTTACTTGTTATTTTAATTAAAAAAGAAACCATATATTCAATTTAATTCAGATTAAAAACTTTATACAAAATTTTATCGAATGATGTATTTGTTACAGTGTGTGTTACACTCTGACCATAGATAGGCTTCCACAGTTCTGTCCCAGCCGTGGTGGAGGAAGGGTGCGTCTTGCAGCGCTCTAGATACTTGTGAACTTGTGGTCCAGTGACTGATGGATGATGGACAAGACGATTCCGGGCTTTTTCAGGTAGCAATGACCAGGAGACAAAAACGGAAAACTGTGTGCAGAGTGTTAAGTGACACTGACAGTGATGAACGACCGAGGAAGTGTAGTGATGGACGGTAAAGGGGACCTGGGCCTCAAAGTTCTGTACAATCTCAGCAGGAACATCTCACCTGAAGGATGCAACAGGACCACACACGGGAGGAGGCACAGATTATTGGACGGAAGCGGTTGTTACTTCCCTCCACATGTTCACTAACTGTTCATCAAAAGCTGGAGTGGACCGTTCAATTGGCCAAGGAATTTGGTGAATATGAACCATTATTTAAGGAGGGTGTTCACCGGCCCTACGTAACGGTTGGGACAGAAGAGCCAGTGGAACATTTAACGACTGGCGGATTTAAGAATATGGTTTTGGGTAATCCTGAAGTGGGAATAAGTTACACTAAAGTTATCTGACATACTTGGATCCTGAAATTCTTCATCTCAACAATGAAAGTGTTGTGTGGGCTAAGAGGAACATTATACGTGGCGAAAAACAAAGCCAGATTGTTGCCTTGTTAATGGGTGAGGCTCCAGAAAGACTTTGCCCATGTCTTCAATACAGGAAAGAGTCAAAATATATTGAAGAGCTTATATTATGCATGAAGTGTTCTCATTGTGGACATATGGCTAGGAAATGCTAGTTTGACCCCAGATGTCGGTATTGTGGTAAGAAGCATGACTCGCGACAGTGTAGAATCAGGATTGACAAAGGAGAAAAACTTGCCATCTTGTTGCATTTGTCGAGGCATCCACAATGCTGGTTCCCTGCCCTCCATGCACGCCCGTCAGCCAACAAGCCTCAGCCAACAACTACAAGAGAATTAGCAAACTTGGGCCACAAGCCAAACAAGTTAGCAAACCTCAGCCACCTATAGTCCATCCCATCATCTCAAGTAATACATGTCAACGCTAATAAGCCACAACGTACAAAATATAAGGTCCTAACGTAACCAGAACCGTACTAACCCAAGCCACCCACCTAACCTACCAATGCATAGAAAATGTGGAAACTTGTAAGCCACTACTGTTCGTAGTACTGTGTGCCTTGGGGAGTATAGGATTAGAGTTAGGGAATGTAGGATCTTGAATGAAAAATTTGAATTTGAATTAGAAATGAGATAGTGGAGAGGCCGGGCGGGTGACCCGGGGGGGGGGGGGATGACGGACACCACACGCATCATGGTGGCGCCACAGCCTAGCGTCCTCACACCAACGATACTATCTCTCACCTTAACAAAAACTCGGCCACTTACGTAAAGATGTTGTCAATGGGAATACGTTATTCATGTGTAAGCCGCCGCCAACCCAACAACGTCAGAGGCCCAGTCCATCAGGGAAGCAACTAAAGTCTAATTAAGTCATTAAACAATGTGTAAGTTTGTTACATGATCAATGTACAACCCCCTTCCCTGTCCTGCCATCATGGGTAAACACCGCCCTCATGCCCTACACACCTGTACTAAAGGGTGTGGTATTATATAACACGTGGAGCACGCTATAGGATCAATGAACACCCACTCTCTCCCCTCCTTAAAGCAGAAAGTCTGTGAGGCTGCCGCTCCCACTCCACAACCCCCCAGCATTTCATTTATATTAAATTATATGCAGTACAATCTGTATCTATAAAACAGAATGTCTGTCCGTTTACTTATTTTTCCTGTCGGTCATGTAGATGTCGTCGTAAGTCCTTAATACCATTGTTATTTCCTACCTTACCATAAATCTTACCTCCTTAGCTCCTAAAAATAGCAGTCATTACAGGAAAGTTCCTTAACCCCGCCTCCTAGTGGCGGTCTTTTGTCCAACACGTGAGCTTGTCTTGAATCCTGAACCTAATTTTGTTCATAACAGTTAGACAGCGTCCATCATCCTGTGAGTGAACACACCGCCACGGTGATATTATGGGGCGTCTTCACTCATCGTATGAGTGAATATACGTCCATAATGACAGTATTGGGCAGCGTCATTAATCCTGTGAGTTTAAGGACTGTCAATCTCATTAACGTTGTAACGTATCGGAAATGTGAAATAAACTAAAGGAAGAATGGGGAAACTCACAGGGTGGTAGAGAGGAGTGAGGGGGTAGTGAGGAAGAATGGTCAGGAGAAAGGTAAAGTTTAGAATGAGATCAAGGAGGAAAGTAGAAGAGCAGAAAGTAAGAGAAAAAGTATAGTAGAAAGAGAAGGTTGCTGCCACCATCCATTCAAGTTAGTTATTTATAAGACAATGAATGGAACTTGTCTGCACAAAAATATTATCTGCTGTTAACACGTATGAACTGTAAGCATGTGAGCCGGTCGGCCGAGCGGACAGCACACTGGACTTGTGATCCTGGGTTCGATCCCGGGCGCCAGCGAGAAACAATGGGCAGAGTTTCTTTCACCCTATGCCCCTGTTACCTAGCAGTAAAATAGGTACCTAGGTGTTAGTCAGCTGTCACGGGCTGCTTCCTGGGGGTGAAGGCCTGGTCGAGGACCGGGCCGCGGGGACACTAAAAAGCCCGAAATCATCTCAAGATAACCTCAAGCTTTGTTCTGTGGGGCGGACGAAGACTGACCTGACACAACCAATTACCAACCTTTCCTTAATAATGGCGGCTGTTTACATTTAGTAAACAGTTTACAGCTTCGAAACTCATCTATCCAGCGTTATTGTGTTATAAACAACCACTTCAGAGTTCTTAAATTATTTAATAAATGTAAACAAAGCCGCCATGACTGAGAAAAGATGTACAGGTTTCGCAAGTGGATTCATAAATGCTTGATAAATCCTAGTCTAGGTTGTCAACACGAATCATGTGACTTAGATAACACCATTACTTAAATGCCTCCAAATACACTTTCAAGTTCCCTTCATCTGGCATAAGACTTCCGCCTCGTGTGGGACATTGATGGAATATTCAAAACTAACTCAATCACCAGACCTGCCGAGACTCACGCCTCCCGAGCACAGCCGTAGACTCCTGCTCACACTTCTCTCCATCACACATAAATATAACCCATCATAATGCAAATTAGCGTGTAACAAAGATGAAGATGATTTAGACCTAGGTATCACCATCTCTACTGTTAAAACTATATTGTTCCAATCATTCAGGTCTGATAGGAGAGAAATTACTGACTCCCAACGACCTGAAAGCGCCAGTATAAAAAGTTATGATTTGTTCAGGTCTGAAACCTATGTTTATAGGCAGCACAAAACGTCCAGCAGACTGTGCGACACAGTGGTTGCAAGGATCAGGTTGGGTTACCGTTACCTGTGGCTGGTGGCTACAGGTGACGGATCTTTCAATCCTGAGCACTCCAGGTGCAAACTCTGTGAGCAGGAACTGCGGCATGATCTCCCACACTACATCACCGAATGCCCAGTTATTAGACCCGTTAGCATGGGGTACTGGAGCTTTGCAATTATTTTAGTCACTCTCGTGTTAATGAAGATATCCTCATATTGCACCCAAAATTTGCCAGTGCAGACAACATATGGCCCTGTATGACTAACCATCCTGCGAGATGGGGACGTTCAGTATCACTGCTACCTTATTCACTCTTGTGTTGATGATATCCTCATAATGCACCCAGAGTCTGTCAGTGCAGACTACTTATCACATGCCACTGTATGACTAACCATCCTGTGTGATGGGGATTTTTAACATCACGTAGCTAGCTTTCTGACACACTGTACTCCCCTTCATATAGTCTAGGGCAGCTGCACAAATGAAGATGTATCTAAATGTGTTAATAAAAAAAAATGTGTGGCAATGAACAATAGAAAGTTATATTTACATATTTGTACACTGAAACCTGGAAACAGTCTAATGTAATTTATTGTAACCATGATATATATATGTGCTTCAGCCTAGAGTTTAGACCTATTGTCTTGTGTATGACTCTGTCCTGTGTGACAGTGAATATCAGCATTACCCTCACTCTAAGAAGACTTAATTGAATTCCTCAAATTAGGCAAAATTGTAATTATTTTTGTAAATAAAGATGTTAATTATAATAATAATATGTTAACTAATAATAATAATATATTATTAATAATATTATGAATTAATATTAATTAATTAATATTAATCAATATTAATTAATTAATATTAATTAATTGACATTATTAATAATAATAATATTAATAATAATAATAATATGCCAGCTAACAAACATAAACATAGAAAAGACCTACTACATCTTATTTGGAAGCAAATCATCGAATGCAATTCAGTTACAAATAGACAACATTAACATCAGTAATAAAAATGATGGAAAGTTTCTTGGTCTATTCCTCGACAAGAGACTCAACTTCAGCACCCATATTCAACACATAACTAAGAAAGTCTCTAAAACAGTTGGTATACTCTCCAAAATCAGATATTATGTTCCTAACTCTGCTCTTCTCTCACTATATTATGCACTAATCTATCCCTATCTTAATTATGGTATCTGTGCATGGGGGTCAACCACTGCAAACCACCTCAAGCCCGTCATCACCCAACAAAAATCTGCTATCAGAATAATAACAAACTCTGCTTTCAGACAACACTCAGCTCCTTGTTTAAATCCCTTAACATTCTAAATATTAACTCCCTCCACACATTCTCTTGTGTCAACTACATTTACAAAGCCCTGTTCTTAAATGCAAACCATGCTCTGAAACTCTCCCTGGACAGATGTAATAGGACCCATTGTCACCACACCAGAAATAAATATCTCTTTGACGTGCCTGACAAGGGCGACAAATAATTCACTTCGGCTGGAATTACAACACCATTGTATCACAAAGAGTTTTTTTAGTTACATATATGATAATTTACAGAGATAAATTAAGATATTACAGCTAGAATTTTTAGTTATTTAGTATTTTTATCTTTTTTAATTTTGTTTTTCAAATTATCAAAATTATTTTCAAAATTATCAAAATATCAACTCTATAAATGTAATTCAACATATAATACAGGAAAAGGCACCAGTATTATGATGAGGAGCCACCATAATGAGACAGTAAGAGGCTCACCCCAACCACCACACAATACTAGGCTCCCCCATCACTAGACAATATAAGAGGCTCACCCCCACCACCACATAATACTAGGCTCCCCCATCACTAGACAATATAAGAGGCTCACCCCCAACCACCACATAATACTAGGCTCCCCCATCACTAGACAATATAAGAGGCTCACCCCCACCACCACATAATACTAGGCTCCCCCATCACTAGACAATATAAGAGGCTCACCCCCAACCACCACACAATACTAGGCTCCCCCATCACTAGACAATATAAGAGGCTCACCCCAACCACCACACAATACTAGGCTCCCCCATCACTAGACAATATAAGAGGTTCACCCCCAACCACCACACAATACTAGGCTCCCCCATCACTAGACAATATAAGAGGCTCACCCCCAACCACCACACAATACTAGGCTCCCCCATCACTAGACAATATAAGAGGCTCACCTCAACCACCACACAATACTAGGCTCCCCCATCACTAGACAATATAATAGACTCACCCCCAACCGGACAATATAAGGCTTCCCCCAAACAGCAAGTCCTAAGAATACACATGCACAAATACTAAATCATCCCACCTGACTCTTACCTAATACAGATGGAATTAAATCCCTTTGTTGCGGTGTTACGAACAATGCAATAATTCCTTGTTCACTTGCCAATAATAGTTTTAGCCAATTTAAGACTAAAATATCATAAATTAATTATCAGAAGAAAGCGCCAAGCCAGTATACCTATATAGCACTTGGAAGAGATATGAGGACAAGATTTAGGATACGACGGAGGAAAGGAATGGTGTCTAACCATTTAATAGGACCATAGGGGATTGAACGCCGACCTGCAAGATGCGAGATCGTGTGTGTGCCCAACATGGCCCAACTAATATATATCAACGTGAGATCCAGTACATCCTATCTTAAAGATTGTTCACCCATATGTCAGACATTTGTCTCATTGAAAAGACAAATATAGTATAATTATATTTAATAGTAAGAATTAAAACCTATACAAACAAATAAATTTTCACATCAATATTGTAGTATGCTACAGTATATTAAAATGTAATTCAACATACCTTTCAGTAGAGCTTCAGTACTCAAAGTCACCGAGCCAAAAATACTTATTGGCTGACAAACTTGGCACACATCACCACAATATACACTTTTCATTGTTCATTATTCACATAATACTGATAACCAGTCATTATAACACTACACTCTCAAATGTTTCTGGAAAAAGAAAAAAATACTAAATAACTAAAACTCTTAATTTATCTCTGTAAATTATCATATATGTACAAACTCAAAAGTTTTAAATATTAAATAGTTCTAAATAAAACTTAAAAAAAAAACTATATGTGATACAATGGTGTTGTAATACCTGCCGAGGTGAATTATTTGTCACCCTTGTCACGGACAACTGTTCTTCCTCAGCATGCAACCCACAACAGTCACCTAAACTACAGATAACTTATTTTACTACTAGGTGAACAGAGACATCAGGTGTGAGGAAACATTGCCCAACTGTTTCTGTTCTACCCGGGCATTGAACCCGCGTTCACTGGTTCATTACACACTGTCTTCATCACCGTAATCATTTTAACTACAAACGGACTATATTTTAACTTTTCGCTTCATGCAGGTCGGCGTTCAATTCCCGACCGTCCAAGTGGTTGGGCACCATTCCTCCCCCCGTTCCATCCCAAATCCTTATCCTGACCCCTTCCCAGTGCTATATAGTCGTAATGGCTTGGCGCTTTCCCTGATAGTTCCCTTCTCTTCACCTAGCAGTAAATAGGTACCAATGGTACCCAGTAGTTAGTGAGGTTGAATCCTGGGGAGGGTCAGTAGTTGGTCCTGGGGGGGAGGACCCCGGTATAAGTTCAATATGTATATATATACTGGCTGCCTGTCCACCAATAAAATGATTATACACATACATAAATATATACTGTATATATATATATATATATATATATATATATATATACATATATATATATATATATATATATATATATATATATATATATATATATATATATATATATATATATGTGTGTGTGTGTGTGTGTGTGTGTGTGTGTGTGTAATTACCTAAGTGTAGTTACAGGATGAGAGCTACGCTCGTGGTGTCCCGTCTTCCCAGTACTCTTTGTCATATAAGGCTTTGAAACGTGTCTCTGTGTGTATGTGTGAAAAGTTTGGGCCTAAACACATAGGCCCAACCTATCTTGTCCCGCCTGGGAATCAAACTCGGGCTCTCCATCTGTGAGACATATTTTTTTCCTTTGGTGATATTGAAAGATCATAAATATTTGTCTTTAGCTGTCAACGTCGAGGAAATATTTTGTAAATAGTGTGTGGACACGGCAGGTTACTGTAGTTACCCGGGAAATATCACTAGAGAAATCTGGTGTCATTATATTCTCAAACGTTTGGGTTTAATTCATAATGATCAAAATCAAAGAAAACTATATTTGGAAAGCCTTAATTGGATAGAAATTTACATGCTTTGAAGTATGTTGAGAAGTTTGTAAACTACGGCCTGGTCATTAATTAACAACTATATTCTGGAAGCACTTAAAAGTGATGTACTATATGCAGCAACAGAATAAAAAATGCCCGGCATTTATATAAAAAAAATATCCTCAAAAATGGATGGACCTTTGACAAACTGCCGGCTTCCTATCCCCGTGGAGGCCACTAGAGAGATGGAGGCCCCTCAGGTCTAACTACCAGACTACCTTACCTACTGTTTAACAAGGTACAGGAGCGGGGTACTGGCACTGATCCACCTGCTTAGCACCGTAAATCCTGCCGTTGAACTTGTGTTGGAAGGTGAGTATAGACTGGTGGCGGCGACGGTGTAGCGAGGCTGGTCACCTGGCCTGGCTCCCTGAGCCACGTGACACGCGCCCCCTCCCTCCCTGCTGGGGGCGGTCCCACACACGCCGCCTCCACACACCACACTCATCAATGACGCCACGATACCTAATTCCCCACCCACTAGCCACCATGATACCTAATTCCCCACCTCTACCACCACCACCACATGCGCTACTCTACCCCCCCCCCCCCACCACCACATGGGGGTACTCGCCCCCACCGTATGGGATACTCCCTCCACTGAACGGACTACTTTTGCATATTGGATAACTGGGTGTGCCTTGTATGTCACGTGGTGGATAACTGGGAGTACCTTGTATGTCACGTGGTGGATAACTGGGTGTGCCTTGTATGTCACGTGGTGGATAACTGGGAGTACCTTGTATGTCACGTGGTGGATAACTGGGAGTACCTTGTATGTCACGTGGTGGATAACTGGGAGTACCTTGTATGTCACGTGGTGGATAACTGGGAGTACCTTGTATGTCACGTGGTGGATAACTGGGAGTACCTTGTATGTCACGTGGTGGATAACTGGGAGTACCTTGTATGTCACGTGGTGTATACTAAATGAATTCGCTACAAAATTAGTGTATGGATTGAAATCTGTTAAAGGGACGGATTTATCCAACTATGACAAGTAGCACTGGTAGAAGTAGAGACATAATAGTGATTGGTAGTGATGGTGGTGTTGACCTGGCCGTCCTGGCCAGGTCAACATGTGCTATAATGATCCTAATGGCTTAGCCCTCTCTCCTTCCCAGCTTGGTGTCTTCTTTTGATAATTACTTAACCCTTCACGAAGTCTTCCCCTTTTCCTTACCACAAAATGTGCAGCAAATATTATCCAAACAAATAACATGGGAAATATAACGTTATGCCCTATTCTCACATTCTTAACCGGAGTCATACAAATGTTAACTCGCCTCATATAGAGATGAGTGTGTTGTGACCCAGGTCTACGTGATAGAGTAACACTCGCTTGTGGCGAGTGTTACTCCTCCACCAGTTGCTTGACAGTTGAGAGGCGGGACCGAAGAGCCAGAGCTCAAGGCCAGCAAGCACAACTAGGTGAGTACACGTGCAGTACACAGGTAGACACGGGCGGGAGGTTAGGCGCTGCCAGCCGTATGACGTATTAACCCGATGTAGGCTTCCAGCTTGTTTAAGAGCAGTTAGTAAGAAGTTTGGTTAAGGAAAGCAAAATTAGAAGGTTATATCAGATATATTATGAATATATGAGAGATTGGTGATTGTTTAATGTTCAATAAAATGAGCAGAACAGAATGACATTTGGAGGCTTGCTAACGGCATCGTGGGAGCAGTGTTGCCACATTGGGCTACAAATAGCGAATTGGGCTACTTTTGAGAGCCCCGCGCTCCCAAATTTTTAATTTCGCTACTTGCTACTTTTTTGGGCTAATTTAAAAGCAAGATGTGCTAATTTGGGCTATTAATGTTAAGATTGTACGATTGCGAGTTACATGAAAGTAACTAAGCTATAAATAATTGTAATTAATAATAATTGTAAATATTAATTAATACTAAATAATATTATTTAATAAATTAGTCCCAATTCAATGCAGAGTTTTCTTCCAAGCACAGAAACTTGTAAATATAAATACAAGGTAATAGATAGATCGATAAATAAATAGACAACTTTCAAATACTGCACCAAGTAATGGCGAGAGGAAAAAAACTAGACAGTATACATTACATTTGAAATTAATAATGGATGAATGGTAATAAACTGGTGTATGTATGAGACTTCTGGAGCCGGTCGGCCGAGCGACTCGTGGGGGCACGCTGAACTTGTGATCCCGTGGTCCCAGGTTCGATCCCAGGCGCCGGCGAGAAACATTGGGCAGAGTTTCTTTCACCCTATGCTCCTGTTACCTAGCAGTAAAATAGGTACCTGGGTGTTAGTCAGCTGTCACGGGCTGCTTCCTGGGGGCGGAGGCCTCGAGGACCGGCAACAGGGACACTAAAACGCCCCGAAATCATCTCAAGATAACCAAGATACCAGACAAGGTCCATTTAATGGCAGAATTTAGCCATTTAGTGTAAAAACTTGTATATCTAATATTATTAATTATAACAGTAATCGAAAAAAGTCATAGTTTGTATATACAAGAGATGAAACAGAGAGCCATGAGCTAGAGCAATGTGCTGAGTCCATAAGGAGGCGGAGCTGCAAGAGATACCTTCCTGTGATTGGCTGTTGCGGGGAATACCAACACTCTTTTCTGAATAAAATTTAAACTAAGAAATAGGTCCTTGTGCACAACAACAAGGTTGTTGTGAAAAAGAACAACAATTTCTGTTTTGCACCTGACAGAAGTCTCCATCTAACTGAATAATTTACTCGAATAAGAGGGCAGAGCAGTGTATCATTATTTGTGTCAAGGCAACCCCCAATAATAACGTCTCAAGTTAGGTAGCCAGCCCATGTTTCTGTAACACCCGTTACATCCTGTTGTATTTAATTATCACTTTATTAATATTTTTAAATGCTTAACATTTCAGTTTTTAGGTAGATTAAAGTTGAAGCAGAATGTCATAAGCGAGGATGGTGTGCTGAATAAAGAGGATTTATTAAGTGGATGGAGCCTTTAGCTGATCCCTTCCTGTGATTGGCTGTTGTGTGAATGTCAACAAAGAATATCTACCAATGATATGCAATTTATTATGCACCCCATACCATCTGTGGGCGGAGCTTGGAACCTCCTACCCGAGTGCAACAACCCGCCTTATGGGTTGCTGTTTGGCTATTTATAGTGCGTTGGGAAAAATAGAGATGGCGTTAGTTGTATTTTGCAGGGTAATTTGTTATAAGTGTAATTTGATGTCAACAGATGGCGTAAGCTGTATCTTATGGCCACTATTGACCAGCCAGTTGATAGTGTTCTTATCTGCCGACAGATGGCATCAGCTGTATTATTATTATTTTAATAATATTATTACATTAATAATAATGTATTATTATTACTTTAAACACTGATCTATACGTCTGGTAGCTTATAATAAGGTTTTATACCGTGCTGGTATTAGGTAACTAGAATTCTGCAATTACTTTTTTTTATCTACTGTAAAGGATATGTAAGACAAATGTAAGGTTTTAAGGCTAAGTAACGAAGATAGTTACAAGATACGAGCCAGATGGTGTTGAGACTGCAAAAGGGATTATGATAAGAACTTAAGCCAAAAAATCGATGCATAAATGTTCGCAAATATGAGACTGGGATTTATTTCTCGAAAAGTTAGCAATAAAATACGCTTTCTAGTTCTTTATTTTTAAAATTAAGACCAGGGATTCTGTCTAACGAAGCTGCAAGCTAAAACACCGTTATCCTATAATGTTCATCTGTAGCTTGAGCCCTAAATACTCGTTTATTAAACGAATTTATTGTTAGAGTTCATTACGAATCAACTTTGTTGAAGGCAGAGTTTCCAACAAATACCTTCCTGTGATTGGCTATTGTGGGGAATGCCAACGCTTATATGAATAAAATGCAAAATATAAAATACGTCCTTTTGCTCAATAACCTTGTTGTTGCACAAAAGAACAACAATTTCTGTTTTATACAAGACAGAAATGTCCATCTAACTGAATAATGTAGAGCAATAAGAGGACGGAGGCATTGTATCGCCGATATTATTTGTGTAAGGCAACTCCCACTGATGACGTCACAAGTTAGGTAGCCAGCCCATGTTTCTGTAACACTCGTTACATCCTGCAGTATTTAATTATCACTTTATTAATACTTTTAAATACTTAACATTTCACTTTTTAGGTAGATTAAAGTTGAGACAGAGTGTCATAAGCAAGGATGGTCTGCTGAATAAAGATGATTTATTAAGTGGATGGAGCCTTTAGCTGATCCCTTCCTGTGATTGGCTGTTGTGTGAATGTCAACAAAGAATGATATGCAATTTATTATGCACCCCATACCATCTGTGGGCGGAGCTTGGAACCTCCTACCCGAGTGCAACAACCCGCCTTATGGGTTGCTGTTTGGCTATTTATAGTGCGTTGGGAAAAATAGAGATGGCGTTAGTTGTATTTTGCAGGGTAATTTGTTATAAGTGTAATTTGATGTCAACAGATGGCGTAAGCTGTATCTTATGGCCACTATTGACCAGCCAGTTGATAGTGTTCTCTTCTGCCGACAGATGGCATTAGCTGTGTTATTATTACTTCCAAATTCCCTTTAAACACTGATCTACAAAGATAAGGTTTTATACCATTTATGATAAGTATTAGATAACTGGAGTTCCGCAATTACTTTTATTTTTCAACTGTTCAGGATATCATCATATAATGTCTGGTTAGGACGTACTGCTTTCGATTGATGAAGATTAAGCCACCCAAGAGGTGGCACGGGCATGAATAGCCCGTAAATACTGCTCTCGTAATATTATATTTTTCAGGGGGGTGGGGAACTATTAAGTGAAAGCGCCAAGCCATTACGACTATATAGCACTCAGAAGGGGTCAGGATACGGATTTGGGATGGAACGGGGAAAAGGAATGGTGCCCAACCTCTTGGGCGGTCGGGGATTGAACGCGGACCTGTAGGAAACGAGACCGTCGCTCTACCGTCCAGCCCAAGTGGAATAGTCCAGTCCAGCGTAATATTATTAAAACAACAATTTATGCATATAATAACAGCATTTCACACTAAAAATACTTGAATATAGTGAAATTTGGTAGTGAATTCCAATCTAGGAATCTCCTATGACTAAACTGTACTTTTTAATCATTTTTATGTGCTTACTACTTATTATTAAATTATTAAGTACTTACTATAATACTTAAATAAATTATTTTATTTAATATTTAAATTAAACGATAAAATAAGAGGTACTAATAAATCATTGTGTAGGGGGGACAGGCAGCCAGTGTGTATATATACATGTTAGGCTTATACCAAGGTCCCACAAAGGTACCACAAAAGTGCCACAAGGGTGCCACAAAGGTGCCAAATTAAAGACTGGGAG